TTCCAAATTCATTAAAACAAGTGTTTTTCGTAAATGTTAAAATTGATTGAATGTCATCGATGATAAAAATGAAATCTGTCTATTAGATACCAAAGATAATAAGAAAGAAAATGGTTGATATTGGTTGTGTGTTGATGCTAACTGAGTTAATTTTCTCTGTTTCTGGTCAACTGGTAGATTGTTTGATTTCATGTAATTATACATAAAACTGCCAATTGTTTTTTCATCTGTGATAATATCTAAGTTTCTTATTATGGTAAAAAGTTTATGTAATCATTAATGTATTTTTCATCAATGTGACCCTTTACTTCAGCCACGAATAAAGTATTTTTCTTCTTAATTATTCCCAGTGCTTTTGCTTTCTTTGTTGCTGTATCACAAATGATAACACCATTCAATCTTCCCGGCATATACATTTTATGGTCAGTATATTGAATGAAATCATGAGGATTAGATGAAAATGATGAAGGATATAATGAATTAAAGTCAACACCAACGAAATGAGTCATAATGTTGTGGTGTCCTCATTTGATACAGTTTTAGTTTCTGGATTATATGAAAGTTTATTAATGTGCGTGATTCCTTTAAGATTAACTCTATGTTGAACATTTGATAAACCACCAGTAATTCCATTACGGAGATGTGATAAGCTTCAACTGAATCTAGAGTCATTGGTAAATTATTTTTTAATGCATAATTTCTTAAATTGATTCTTAAACGTTGAACATCTTCATCTTTATTTGATTTTACGACATTGCAATAACAACACATTAACTGACAATTTTCTTTGGTATGTGGTTTTTCATTATCGATTCTATCTAATGTTGGTTTATTAGCATATGTAAACGCTTTACCACACATTTTGCATTTAGATGAAAGGATTAAATCGTGATAGTATTGATAGTCATCCATTGAAACATTGTTTTTAGTATCCCTTTCTGCTTTTTCATCTTGTTTCTTATATGAATCAATTTTATATTTCCAATACTTTTTTGTTAATTCAAAACTTGATTCCACATTTTCTTCTTCTGGATATGTTTCGTTAGGATTGAAGTTCTTATATGCTAACGCGTAACGAATCATTGATGCATTCGATGATAAAGAAAGATTATGAAGCATGTCAATTTTATAAACAAATGTTTCTTCAATAATTTTATCAATTGGGTCAATCATAATTTCAACGTCTTTATTGCAATAATGAATAAAATATTCTAATCTATTCTCAAAATTTTTAGCATCATTGAGATATATTTGATAATCTGAATCGGATATAGTTTCTTGAGTTAATGCTGAATAAAATGAATCTTGAGTGAATGGTTCCACTTTATATAATTCATCTTCGTAATTCTCCCATGTGATGAATTGATAAGGGAAAAAGGATTTAACACGTGATTTATTGTTTCCGAAATCTTGAGTGAATTGGTCTAATGTTCCACCCGCTATATAATTTCTGATGTCAATAAATCTTAATTCATATGGACAGTTTGTTTTCTTTACAATGATTTGCTTAAATTGAGAAGAAGAACCCAGCATTGATTTTATTTTCCATTTTGCAGTGTTTAAATCACGAAGAATTAAATTTAAATCAAACTTTCCCGAATTAAAACCTATGATATTCACTTTATTGAATTCCTCATCTAGAAGTTCTTTAAATGCTTCCTTCTGTTTTTCATTTAATGTATGGGACAAAGTCCCCGCCGTTTGGTCCGTTTGCGGCTTCATTAATTCTTCATATTGTTCAATATTTGATTTAGCAACTAATGAACAGGTTGAAAATAAAAATTCAATCCAATCAGAGATGAACGAATCACTTGATGTTAAGCAAAAATTCCTCGTAAATGTTTTATCGTGGTCTACGACCTCGCCGCAAAGCGGCTTTAATTTAACCGTTGATGATACCATGAATGGTTTTAAGTAAGCGTTCAAAGTTGCACATTCAGAAAGTTGAAGTTCTTCTTTAGTCTCTAATGTTTCGAAGTCAAAAGTAATATAATATCTTGTCGGTTTATAATATTCCTGCAAATTGTGAGCTAATAGCCATTGATATATCTTCTGTTTCGTGATATGTGGTGCATATGGTTGCTGTGTCTTTTGCAATTGAACGTCTTGAATTAATCTTCCATTATTTTCTTTACATTTCTCACAATGCTTTAAAAATCTTCTTTGGTTTTTCCTTTCTGGGTCATCACGGATAGAATATACTTCTTCTTTGCAAAAGGGGCAAACTTTATATCCTGTGAGTGCTTCAACGTCTGTAATTCTGTCAGCGTGAAGTTTTCCACATGGACTCTGTGTTAATAAAATATTTACTGTTTCAAATTCTGGATCTATCATTATTGAATCCACTAATGGAAAGTCTACCTTATTTATGTCACGTCTTCTGGTTGAGGTCACAATAATAAAAATCAATATTAACGTTTAACATTCTTGCTAACCTCTCACTTTCTGATGAAATGTCAAATCCTTCATATGCATCTATGGCTTCATTTAAATAACTTCTACGAGTTTTAGGATTAACACCATCAGGAATGTTATAGAAGCGTTTAAATAACCTTCTACCTTCTGCTCTAATTTGATTATCATTCATTTTAGCTGTTCCGTTTTTGTTCATTTATGTAAGAATAAAAAATTAAAAAATAAATAAAAATAAAGTTTATTTTTTTAAAGTCCGAGACTCAGAGAGTCCAGGGCTAAAGCCCATAAAATGAATTAAGAACACATAAATTTTTATCATCTGCGACGTGACGAATACATTTTAATTTACTCAAGAATGCGTACCCTGATACATTAAATCTAATTCCTGTCTTATTTAATTTCACAACTTTGAAAAGGAATGTATGAATAGCTATAAAATGATGAGATGATGTTTTATGGGTTGCTTCCATTTTTTCTGAAATAAATGAATAAATATAATGTTTATAAGTTTTCATATCTTTTATATTCTTAATAACGAATGGTATAGACCTTTCCACTTCGTCTTCCTTCGGTGCTGTTCTTTCATATGAAACATTATTAGTATCTTCAATAATGAAACCACAATCGCATAAAATTTTATATGTACCAATTGTTTCTTTTGATATTTTATCTAACAAATCAAAAACTTTATCAACACCTGTACATTTATTTAAATAATAATTTGTGTAAATATCATGGTCTTCTTTCTTAATCGTATTTGTTGCATATGTTACATTTTTCAGTGCTTTTTTGAATTTTTCAGAATCAAGAGGAGGTGAAAGTAATATACAGGTATTCTCATCGTCAATAAATTGTAACTTATGTTTACGAATAAATTTGTGCCTTCTTCTGAAAGTGTTTCATCTATTTCACCATCTAATAAATTTTTGTGTTGATTCCAAAAAGTAATTTTTATATCTTTCTTCATGAGATTTTTGAACTTCTGATTCTGAAGCTGGGATATTCATTAAACCCTCTACTTCATTCTCATTATATTTTTCAACTTCTCTTAATTCCTTAATTTTTTCATCTATTTCATCTCTTATTTTTTCCAGTCTTTCAATTTCATCATATTCATCATCTTTAATCGTTCTTCATAATATTCAGGGAAAACATCAGGTTCTTTAGGTTTTTCTTCTTCAGATGTGGATATAAGAAATTTATAACATCATCTTTATTCATTTTTCCATCATAATCTAAATCATTTAATAACTCCGCGAATTTTTGACAATTTCTTAAATAATATTTATTAACTTCATAACTCGCCTCCTCTAATATATCCTTTATTTCCTCGTTTGTGAATCCCAATTTTTTAACGTCGTTAGTCTTGACACTCATTTTCATACGAAATAAAAAAATAAATTATTCAAAAAATGTAAGACATGAATTTTTAAAGTTTATTTTTCATTCATGAATGATAATTATATCTGATTTCTTTTACTCTCTCATACATACTAGATTTAAAGAATTCAGAACTTTTACCATAATCTCCTAAATGTTTTCTTATCCCCAACGTGTGCCAGTTATTATATGAAACTGAATAAACTTTATCTTTATCTTTACACCTTTCATCACTTCCAATATATTTATATCTCAGTTTTGATTTAGCATTTTCATATTCATTAGCGTTTAATAATTCGCAGTCTTCCTTTTTAAATTGATGTTTAAGATATTCAGGATTTAATACTCTACGTTTATATGCTCCTAACTTAGTTCTAAAGGTTTTTCTACAAAATTTAGGAATTCCATCCTCTTTAATGTCATCAATGATTTCCATTTCATTATTTTCAATTTCTTCTTCTCGTTTATGAGGTCTTTGATTATGACTCCATTGATTCCATGAAATTAAATATTCTTTATCATTATATTTATACCTCATTAGCTTATTTTGGCTTTCATATTCATTTAATAATTCACAATCTTCATTTTTAAATTGAAGTTTAACCCATTCAGGATTTAAACAATGTTTAATTAATCGCGGAATATCTGACATCATCTATATATAGTTTCTTTTATAAAAGATAAAAAATAAATTATTTTAAAATTAATGTTAATTTTTTTAATGATTTATAAATAAATATATTTTAATGCATCATCTATATATAGATGATACAAAAAAAGTCACACAACCCGCACTCATATACTACTTATGTGGAAGTTCAACATTTATTGAATTGGTTTTATTAATTTTGAATTTTTTTTTGGAATTTTATCATTTTAAATGGATTTTTTCATTAGAATTAAAGGGAACATAATAAAACCAAATATGTAAATTTTCATAATATAAGTAAAATATTTAATTTGCATAGTAATAATCTCTTTTAAAGTTGATTTTACTTTTCAATTAAAAATTATCAATCCTCTTTGAATGAAAACATATGAACCTACCCATATTTTGAATATACATCTTTAGTATGGGCAAAATGTATTGTTTCATTTCCCGCACTCATATTATGCCACTTTTTATCTTCAATATGAATCTTCAAAAGAATGCAACTAAATTTGTTTTACTTGGTTCAAGTGGCGCAGGGAAAACATCATTAATCATGCAATTTGTAAATGGAATATTTGATGGGCTTACAAAGCCTACAATTGGGGCTTCTTTTGTTTCTAAATCAATCGAAATCGATAACTCATTGCTAAATATATCTGTTTGGGATACTGCAGGTCAAGAGCTTTACAGAGGTTTAACCCCTATGTATTACAGAAATGCTGCCGTTGCTATTGTAGTTTTTGATGTTACAAACAAAGATAGTTTTGAACAAGTTTCTGGATGGGTTTCTGAACTACATGAAAATACTTCTAATGCAATAGTTTGCATCTGTGGGAATAAAATAGATTTGGAAAACAGAATAATTTCAACTGAGAGCGCAAAAGAACTTGCCAATAATTTAAACCTCAGCTACTATGAGACCAGTGCTGCAACAGGTGAGGGCGTTGATAAAATGTTTTTAGAGCTTTCTCTTCAAATTTTATCAAATAATAAAGAATTGGCTCATCCGATGCATGAAGAATCAACAGTTCAGCTGAGCGAAGATACTCACAAGTCTAAGGAAGGTTGTTGTTGATACTTATTATTAATATAATATTTTTTTGTTTGTATATATTTTTATGATTAAAATTAACAATATATTGTTCTTAGTTATGTTAACTGATTGCCTATTTTAAAATAAATGCTGAATTAAAGAAATAAACAAATAAATATTTTTATTTTTTGCCCTTCTTATGCTGTTCCGTCATTGTCTCAACATCAACAAATGGGATAGGATCGATTTGTGTTGAAATAGAAGCCTTTTCCTTGACTAATATAAGTTGACTTAATTGTCTGATCTGTTGTAATTGGGCAGAAGTTTCTTGAAGATATTGTTTCATCGACTCTTCAGCTGTTTTGTGAATTTCTTGGAGTGAATTGGTTCGAAATTCTTTGATTGCTTCTGAAGTATCAGGTATTTTACTATCTAAATGGGATGCAAGTTTATGAATATCTGTAAGTAAGAAGAAATTAATGAATTTATCAACCACATTTTGTTTAGGTTTCTTTTCTTCATTAATTTGCTTCTTTTCTTCAGGATTCCCACTTTGGTCAGTTACATCTGGAAGTAGTTCAGGTGGTGCTGAAGGTACTTCTTCAATTGAATTTGATAAAAATTGACTACCTAATCTTATAGATAAAGTACTCTTTTGCTGAGGTATTTTGACCATCTTTTGTCTAACTGATGTACTCGGCTTTATCAAGACTTTTGATTTTCCACTTTGCTTCATACTTAATAAATTAGTAGAAACTTGTGGAGATATAATCTTGGGAGTAGTAGGTGATGTATTCAACCTTGACATTACTTGTTTAGGAATTATTGCATCTTTATACGTTTGCCGCTGATAAAACAAATCTAAACCAAATGCTGAGCAAATAGCTTGAAGTGTCTTTGCCCTTTGCTTATTTCCATACATATTTGCGTAAATAGCATCATGTGCATCAAGTAATTGGAAAATTGGAGCAAAAAGATTAATATATTGTTTTGCATAATTGTTTTTTTCTTCTTCTATCTGTAATATTTGCTTTGATATAGCTTCTATATCATTATTTAATTGCTCGTTTTTCTTTCTGTTAACAGAAAGTTGACTAATTAAATGTTCACACATTGCAGAGAGTTTATCCACAGTTAATGTTTTTGTTGACATTCTATTCTTTATAAGTGGAGCCATTGCTGTATCAACTTGTGCTGTAATTTTCCTCACTTCATCAGAACGATCTGAAATTTCTTGATTTATTTCTTCAAGTTGTTTTTTCATGCTCTCCAGATCATTTTTGTTCATTAAAAAGGATTTATCCTGCGATAGTTCATCAAAATCCTTTGAATCACAGTCTTCAAACTTTAATCTAAGCTTCGATGCAGCATATTCATGACTTTTGAGATCGTTTTGAAAAAGTATAGATAATGTTTGCACACATAGTGTTGTCAGTTGCGAAAATGGTCTCCTTTTTGATAACGAATCAAGTCCAATATTTCTTTCTTGCTGCTTAAGCATTTCATTTTCTTCTGTAAGTGTATGGTATGATTGTAACAATCCTAAAATTGAACCAAATTCAGAATTAATTTGATCAGTCACTTCGTTACCTTCATCAACAACGACAGAACGTTTTAAAAGCGTGTAACTCAAATCTTCAAGTCGTTTTAATTTCGTATCGATTAAATATAAACAGTTTTTTGATTTATCAATTTTTGAGGTTTGATAATTTGGAGTATATCGTTTAATTTCTTTTTCTAAAGCAAGAATTTGCGAAGCAAGTTTTTCATTATTTATAGGATTTGTGTTTTGTTCTGCAATTTTGATGATATCGCTTTTTCTTTTTGCATCTTCTAATGTAACTGTTTGCTTTTTAAGTAAATCTCGACCTTTTTCTAGCATTTCTTGCTTCATTGCATTATTTTTTAATGTTCTATTAAGCTTTTCATCAAAATCATTGAAAATTGTCATCAGCTCCCTGATCATAATGTTCTTTTCCTTAGCTAAAGAACTATAAATTGCTTTACTAAAGGTTTGAACAATTTTCATCCATTCCTCTTGAGAAGTTGATTTCATGAATATAAATTTTTATCCGTTATTTATTTTTATTCAAAAATGTTTAAAATTATGCTACTTATACATTATTGCATACTTTTTAAAATTTCATCTTGAAAATCTTATGTCACTTTTTATTTAAATGTTGATTTTATTTTCTTACTTAGTTTCATCAGCTAAAGTATTAGGATACCTAGCATCGTTAGAAATAAAAAATCCAACAGATGTTATATTTCAGTCCGTTGATGACTTCGAACCATTATATTTATATATTTCGACACAAAGCACATATGTAGGATATACATTGTCATTAAATACTTCAGATGACTTTAAAAAATCACTCGTTTTAAATTTAACAGTGGATAGTTTGCCATTTGCTTTTGATATTCAAAAAGCTGGCGATTTTTATGCATATGCAGACCCAATTTCATCAGATTCAGTTATATATGATGGGTACTTTGTTATTCATAATAAATGGGGTTATCTTACAAAATATGAACTTTACGCTTTATACTTTTCATACGCTCAAATTGCATGCTTCGTAGTAATTTTCGTAATGTGGGCAATAAACAAATTAAAGCATCTGTCACTTAAAATGACACTTAACAATTACTTCATTTTATCAAATACGGGAAATTTGATCATTTCCATTGTATATACTGCCCTTCTTTCGAGAACAAACAAAAAGTATAATCGTTCCCTTCATCTGTCAGCATACTTAGTATATTTTTTCAGAATATTTATTTATTTATTCTTCTTCATTACAATATCGACTGGTGTATCTTTAGTTGACGAGAAGTTACCATGGACTGTAATGCTTATTAACTTTTTAGCCTCGATGTTTTTGACACTCACACTAATTTTCTTAACTTTAACAAAACCTATAACAATATACTTTGTTTTAGCTGCTTTTGTTATTGCATACCTGTTTTTTGTTGTAATGGAGTGGAGAAATACAAGAGAAGCTCTTCTCAGATTAAATGCCCATATAATTTTAATAGATCAAGCAGGAATAAATCCGGCCTCTACACCAACATTCAGAAAAATACAAATGCTCAATAAGTTTATGAGACTACACAATGTTGGTTTTCTTTTGGTAATTATGTCATCTATTTGGTCATTCATGGAAATGACACATTTATGGCAGGTAATTCTGTATTTCATAATTGAAATAGGCCTCTTTGCAGTTTATGCATATTTTGGTTGGAGTTCCAGGCTGAGAAATTCAATGCAGGTAATGTATGATAATAAGGAAGCTGAAGATTTATATAGAGTAAATGACGAAGAAGAAGGAGAAGATCATTCAACAAGCTCATCAGAAATGGAGGCTAGAAGAGAACATCTAATTCAATGGCAGAAAGATTTCAAATTACCACAAATTCCCAAAATACCGCCCAAAAAGAAGATTTATGCGGACTAATTTCTATCGATTATGTTTAATATATTTATTTATAATATGTTTTTTTTTAAATAATGTATGTATACACTTTCTTTCAAACCATATTCAACTAATAATTATTTCTTTTTAAACATTCTCAATAAGCCTTAAATATAATCAAAAAACTCAGACAAATAAATCCATATCAATAATTTACATTGAAGTGAGATAATTTTTGAAGATAGGCAATCATGAAAACAACAGACGGAAATCCGATATCGTGTATTTACATTTTTGATTGAATAGTTGATACAATAATTTTTGAGGACTTCCAAAAATATTCAATTTAGATAGGCACATGAAAAAATAGCTATTAATCAAGGGTTCAGTTTATGAAGCAATAGGAATACATCACACAATTTTCAATAGGATTGAATAAATTAAATAACTCAAAGGAAATGTAGTAATGTGTAATAAAGGAGGGAATAAATTCATTTTCCCAATTTTTTTTCAGATGTTTCAGAGGGAAAAACAGGAAATAAACACACCTTCTAACAACTGATATAATTTAATGTTCATATTTTTGAAAGCTTTCAAATATTTGAGAGAGAACATTTGAAAAGTTCATGAGGCTAAATACTAGTATCAATCTTTTACAAATATTATCTTCAAATTTTATTTTCAATATATAATCTGAAAGTAACTATTTAAATAAATATCGCCCCATACATATATTTATTTTTTAAATTTCAATTTATAAATGATCTGTTATTCTTTTTTGTGAGATCAAAAGTTTACACACAGGCATAATAATTTAGGACTTTTTGAAAATAAGATCACCATCAGGTCAATTAAGGATACTATTCCTTAACATAATTGAAATACCGAATATTCAAAATTCTAAACTCATACAAAATGTTCATATGACCATTCTTTTTCTGTTGAAATGGAAATTATTATATAATTTATATAAACACGAATCTATAGACATAACAACAGTTTTTAAAAACTTACGTTTCTTATCAAAAATTGATAGAGCTGAAATTTATTTTAAAAGGATATATGAATCAAGCAGAGATAGATTTCTTCCGAGAGCAAGGAATATCATATCTAGGAATCATTGCTCAAGGCGGCTATGGCGTTGTATATGAAGTTATTTCAGCTAAATACAAGAGCAATTTCGCATTATAGAAAATTCCAGAAAAGATGTTCTCCCAGTCAGAAATTGAGTGCCTTAAGGCCATTGATGATCCAAGAATTGTTAGACTCTATCAAGTATACAACTTTGGCGGTTTTATCTATCTTTTAATGGAGTTATGTAAAAATGACCTCGATAAGATTTACAAGCATAAGAAAATGACAACACCAGAAGAACTTTTCAAGGTTGTACATGATACAGTCCTTGCTGTTAAGGCTTGCCACGATAGACATATCGCTCATTCAGACATAAAACCCGCAAATTTCCTGATTGATCAATATGACAGAATTAAGATCTCCGACTTTGGTCTTTCTTCATGCTATGAAAATGAATGCAAGTGCTGTTTATTTAAAGGAACAAAATTATTTATGGCCCCAGAGATATTCTCCAAAACCGATTATGACCCATTCTCAGCAGATATATGGTCCTTAGGTGTTACAATATATTATATTGCAACACATCATTATCCTTTTGTTGACAAAGATTTAGATAAAATCCCAGATTTAATCATAAAAGGTGAGTATCAGGATTTCAGAATCAAGGATCCAGATCTAAGAGAGGTTGTCAGATGCTGCTTGACAAAAGACGTTTCCATGCATTGTACTGTTAACGAATTACTTGAACTTCCATATTTCCAAAATCAAATGCAGCAACAAGGGTTGATACCATTATCAATCTCACGTGGCCATTTGATGATTGTTAAGCCTATGATTCCAAAGAGAAGATCCGCTTTCGGTATTGAGCAGATTTCATCGCTTACAAATTTCAAATGCATGAGACTTCATTTGAACAAATCAGAAGCCAAGTTTGATTTATAATATATTTGATATTTTATGTTTGTTAATTAAATTATATGTTTAATATTAATTATATATTAAGATTTTATTATCAATTGATTTCATTTTTATTATTAAGCTGGAAATTTTTTGAAGAAGAAAATTTAAATCAAAAAAGTTGGATTTCATATATACAATAATGTATAGTTAATGATTAATACAAAATTTAGTAAAACAATAGAAGTGTTGTCGTTTTTTACTTGAAAAAAAATTGAATACTTCGGTACGATATTACATTTTTACAAAATATCTTAAGATAGCATAATTTGTAATATTGTCAATTAATTTGAAATCCCGTCAAAAATTTAAATATAATGTAAAGAAAATAATTTATGTATACAATGGCTCATGTATGAAAAATAACTAAAAATTTTTATACATATTTGACATTCTTCTTTTGAATGAAAATCAAAACATTAGTCTCATTGCTTGTTGTAATTTAATTATTTTAACTTTTCAACTCTATATTATTTGATTATTCAATTTTTTCAATATGGATTTTCAATACATTCAAACTTTAATATATCGCAAAATAATATACTAATTAGTATTAATTAAATTATATTTTCTGATTTTTATAATTATCAATTATTTGAATAATGGATTCTGATGAAGTTGTTTTTTTTCGAAAATCTTGGATTAACATATACAGAAACAATAGCAAAGGGCGGATATGGACTTGTCTATCTTGTTCATTCAGATCATTACCAAAGTTATTTCGCAATGAAAAAAATCCCCGAAAAATTATTTAATGAAGCTGAAGTTAATTGTTTGAAGGCTATATATGATCCAAACATTGTGGCACTGTACAATTATTATAAATTTCAAAACTATGTATATATGTTAATGGAATATTGCCCTTCAGATCTTGAGAGAGTCATGAAACAGCAAAAATTGTTTTCAAAAGAAGAGCTTCTCAAGTATTCTAAAGAGGTTGTCCAATCAGTATGCGCATGCCACAGTAAAAATATTGCTCATTGCGACATCAAGCCTGCAAACTTCTTGGTTGATAAATATGGTCGTTTAAAAATTGGCGATTTCGGACTTTCTTCAGTTTATGATGATCAATATACTTGTGATCTTTTCAAAGGAACAATCATTTATATGGCGCCAGAGGTTTTTGAGTCGGAAGATTATAACCCAATAATAGTTAGTATACAAGTCTTGGGTATGGTGGCACTGCGTTCCACCTTACCCAATACTTGTGAATTTGACACTTTACAAAACCGTTAACGTATATTTTACAACATGAACGCAAAAACTAACTTAACCTTAAATATTTACAAAGCCGCCAACCACTTCACTAACAAACTCACTAATGTAAAAAATAAACGTTCTCACTATCGTTCTCACTAACAACTTCACTAATGTTCTCATAAATTTTCCTCAATATCTTCATCATCAGTGTTAACCCTATTGTAGTCATACTTGAAGCCATAAACTTTCTCTAACTTCTTAACGTACAATTTACATAACTTACCTTCATCATCGTATGGTTTAATGATATAACTATTTCTATCTTTATAAACAGTCAATGAAAAGTCAACTGGTCTCGGATGTATTTGAAAGAACATGTTATGCTCAGGAAGGAAGAATAAATGTTTAAATGTATGTTTGTTATATGTTTTGATTTGTATGAGTTGCTTTTGTTCTGTCATTACATCCAAATAAAATAAAAATAATTTTAAAAAAATAAAATAAAAATAAATGATATCACCACCCTCACACGTATGAAAACATAGCACAAAAATAAATTTAGGTGAAGTGGTGAGATCTAACCCGATTTCTAACCTCATTTCTACCCTGTTGAATTCATTGCTTTATAACTCTCTTCCTTGGTTTCTTTTTAGTTGGTTTCTTCACGTCTGTCTCCAACTTGACTGTCTTTCTTCTTCGTCCATAATGATACCAATTACTTCCACCAGTCAATGGGTCAAATGGTCGTTCATAAGGGTTTCCATACATTCCATAAGGTCCGTATGGATAACCCGCTGGTGGAGAAGAAACATTTTCTTTAGTTCCATCGACTCTATTTAAATGCATTGTTTCACCTTTCATCTGGTCATTAAAGTCTTTTGCGTGTTTTGCAAACTCATCATCCTTTCCTAAAGCATTTTCTGACTCAGTCGCAACCAAATTGGATGCTTTATTTATGAGCCCTATTTTATTTAATCTTAACTTCTTTGCAACCCAGCCTCCAATCTTCCCTTTATTTGCATCTAATGTCTTCGAAACCCTTCCTCCACTCATTTTATTTACTGCGTCATAAGCTCCAAGTGCTTTTGCTCCAAATGCTAATGCTTTTGTTCCCATTGCACCTAAAGCTGCCCAAGCTACCATTTACACCATATTAAAATCATCTCTCTTCAATATTATCTCATAAAAGTTCTCGTTACTGGAGAAAGTCAATGAAACATAAACATTCTCACGGGCTTCACCCTCACTGCTTTGCGGTCTATCTAACTTCTTTCTTATCTCATCTATTCGCTTCAAAATGTCTGAACAATTGCTAACATCTTCTACAACAGTTATTTCATCATGAACGACCTTTAAGAACAAGCTCATTTAATATGCAATTAAAATCATCTCAATAATGAGTCCATCCTTTCCGTCTTTGGGTAGCACAACATCTTTCATTGAAGAAGGTTCGACAAGTCTTATGTTAAACTTACTGACAAAGTTTGTTATACTATAATGCTTCGGCGGCGAATACATGTAGTTTGAAAGACATAATATAGATTCTTCAGCAAATTCACTTATACTGGATTTTATAACAATGTTCTCACGAGACCAAATACCACCAATTGACAATCTTGTAAGCAATCCTGCTGAACCTTCAACTGTAAACGTCGATGGTAACATTCCACGAAGGTCATCTATTGACATCGTTGAGTCACTGTATTTAAATATTTTCTTAAAGCAATCGTCATTATCTAACCATGCAATAGCTTTGAAGTTTTCATTCGAATATACATCTGCTTCATTAAATGTAAAACCTGACTTCTTTGCAGAGATGACTTTAAAATCTATTGAGTTTGTTTCAAAATTATATGCTATGGTAACTTCTGAAGGTAATGGATGCCCTTCCGCAGTCAGTTGTTCTCTCACTACCGTTTGAAGCTTTGTATTAAAAACTTTCATGTCATCTCCTGTATCTAAGTTCACATACACAGCAACAGGAAAACTATCTTGCTTCTTTGTTTCATCATTATACCTCAAAACATTAAAGTTCTTCAATAATATTGTCCTTCCTGCTGGAATACTTCGAACCTGTCTGATTTCAATAGCTTTCTCACCTCCTACATACTCTACCCAGTGTCTTGGATATTCATAAGTATACTGACTTTCTTGAATTTTGGTTGGTTTCATCATAACGTGTTCATAGTATATCTTTATACTCTTGTCAGTTAGACTCGGTGCTATGTTCTGAATATTTCTGACTTGCATTTTTAATGGAGATAAAATGAAGCATTTAATACATGACGTAGATGAAGACATGAATGAAACTACAGACAAACTTAACTCTTCTCTTATTCTTCCTTTCAGCAAAGATTATGAATTCTGTTCAAATGGTGTGTATTTCTATTGTGGAAAGATGGGTTCAGGTAAGACATTTAACCTCATTCGTCATATACTCATAACAGAGCGTTTAGGTCAAGATCCATATTATGACCAAATCATTATATCAGCAACTTCAGACTCTATGGACTCAACAGCGAAAACATTTATGTCAAAAGTTCAAGCCTCTGTCGTTAAAGTTCCAGATAGCGAACTCATTGAATTTCTTCAACGTTACATTCGACGTAAGAGGAAATATTATGCCATCGTTGAATTTATACAGTCAGGAATGCAAAAGACTTCTGAGGAGATGGAAAGAATTATTGACAAACACCACTTACGTCAATACTCAGGAGTTTACGATATGAAACGACTTACAAACTACATTCTATCAAAACTTTCAAAATACCCCTTCAAAAAATATCCTTCAAATACTTTGTTAGTTTGCGACGACTTCGCCGGAAAAGGTTTAGTTTCAAAACCAGACTCACCATTAGCTAACATCATTACTAAAGTCAGACATTACCACTTAACTGTAGCAATACTTATGCAAACATGGAGGTTTTTAGCTTTAAACATAAAACGTCTCATAACTGACTTCGTTATCTTTCAAGGTTTCTCACGCTATGACATTGAACTCATTTGGAAACAGTCAGGTATAACATTACCTTTTGAAGAAATTTGGGAAGCATATAAGTCTCTCATCTCTCCTCGTTCATACCTTGAGATTCATATCATGACTAATACCATTAAAGTCAAAAATATTCCATGGGAACGACCAACATTATTTTAAAGCTTAACCTTCAATTGACTGATGGTAAACAAATTCCATGCATCTCTGTCGCCATTTCTGTTAATATTTTTGCTGTCATTCATATCATCCACTTCTCCATCCGTTAACTTTTGAGGATATGCGTTAGAATAGCTGTTCTTAAATGAAGGCTTTTCACCTTTGAGAGCATAAACTCTATAACTTTCTGCATACTTTATGTTTGAACCTCCTGAGCCATCATTGACATAAATTTTTATAGGCTTCCACCCTTTGTTCATATTCCTGCTTCTTCCCTTTGCTCTTTTGTTCAGTAGTTCTACATCTTTATACACAGCTCCTGTCTCAGTGAATTCAACAATATTTTCATTCGTTAGCTTTACATTCAAACCCTTGTCGAGTATATTGTTCATTTCATACATATAAAAGGTTTTTATTCTATATGAAATGAGAAGCAAATCCATCTTAGCTGGTGCCGTTAATGTTCCAATTGAACCAACATCAAATGTTGACTCACGAACGACAAACAATATTGTCATAAAGAACTATAGTTCGGAGTGTTTGAAAGAAAAAGAACCAGATCTTAAGTCGGTTGAATTTAAACACAACTTCAAACGCTAACGCTACATCAGATGTTAAGTTAGAGTATCCACCACTGGACCAAGTTCTTTCAAGAGAAGCCAACGACAACCCTTACACAAATGTTCAAACAAATCCTTCAGATAACGTAGACCATTACCTTCTTCAGTTATACCAAACAATTTTACTCAAAGACGATAAGAAGCTTTTGACAATCTCTTATAAGTAAGAACCAAATAATTCTAACAAAGGAGGACCTTGAAAATATTATATCACGAATAACAGGAAAGCAATGTGTCATTGACTATCTCGACCCTGAAATCGAATGCTGTGGTCAAACTCCAATATTCATGAAAATAGGTAACATCCGCATCATTGAAACACCAGGTACTCCAGGAGTTGAGTTTAAGTATAAATATTCGAACGAGTATACAAAACTATCTACTTACTATAAGCTTTGTTTGAAATATGTTTTAGTAAATTAAAGCAATTTGTAATATCTATCCAAAACTTCTTCAACAGTATCGAACTCATCTTCATAATGCAAACCTAATCTTATTGACTTGGTGCAGTTTTCACTAACACAATATTTTTCTGTTCTCTTGACTGACATAACTAACTCATTTGTTTCATCAAACAGCAACAACCAAAGTTCATGACCTAATACATAACATTCATACTTTATATTTTTAGCTCTGAGTTCTCTTGTAAGCTGTTGCATTTAATATTTTCTAAAAAGTCAACTTCAACAGTCATTCGCACTGGTGCCTTCAGTTCTACAGGCTCTCCTTGAAAGTCAACAAGTCTGAATTGCATGTCTTTCAAATTATGAGGACTAATGCGAACCCATTTACCTAAATGAGTTGCTATGACAGGAACGTTTGGAATGAACATTGAATTGACTGCATAACAGAAGGATTTATATTCTACTGAACCTTTACTATTAACTCCTGAAATACCTGTGACATTAGCTATTTTTGACTCAATGTACAAACAATTGCCATAACATACGTATGGAACAGATTTCATCTCAATCGTTTTGTCAACACTTTTCAAAGGAAATGTCATATGGTATGCTCCCAAAAGAAGTTGTACTCTATGACTCATTCTTGGTATCTTAAACTCTTTCGCATAACTGAACTTCAAAACTCCTGCAATAAGTTTAACATTCATTAAGTTTTCTCCGTTATCCTTGTTTATTGTAGTATTTATGAGAGCATTTAACTCCAGCTAATGTTTCCATCTTATATTCTACATTATTGTGAAATCTTATTTCGTGCTTCTTTCCATCTATTTCAATCTCCATGAAATCTGTTTCATCTGTTATAACGAATGAAGCGATAGTATTGAAGTCAACCATTCTGAATGCAAGTGGCTCATTCTGTAGACCTAAGTTTGTTTTAGTTTTACTGTCCCGTATTCGTTTGGGTCTGTACTTTGCAAATAGAACAACATTTTATTCTCATTAAAATATGAGTATAGCTGCATATGCGTATGAAGCTGACAGAGCTAAACGTTATATTTGGTCAATACTCTCTCACACTTACTGACAAATATATTGTTATCAGTGATGGAAATACCGAGAAATACATAACATGGAAGGACTATGAAAAGTTTGACCCCATTTTAACTCCATGCACTATGCCATTCATTGTAAATGGTGAAGTTGTCATGAAGAACGACACAACAGTATATAAGTCTGTTCATGAAGCGTTAGAATATATGTTGAATTATAATCCCGAAAGATTTGACCCAAGCACTACGTCATGTACAATGCCTTTTATTAAGGATGGTGAAATCGTAAGAGTTCCGGATTCAACGTTTACACAGCTGTTCAAAACAGTTTACAAAAACATTTTAGCGAATATCTTTAATTCAGAAACTACAGAAATAAAATTACCATATATAACAGATGCTAAAGAAATTAAATCAAAAACGACAACATTATTTACGTCACTTAATGATTTAATGACTTATATCATTAATATTCCTGCACCAACTACAGCATTTGATCCAAACTCGACGGTTTGCAGTGTACCTTTCATAAATGACAGTTCATTAATTACTTTAAGGGATTCGACAGTAAATGAATCATTAAAGGCGTCATTAATGAAAATCATTGATTTTAATTCATTCATGAATACATATAATTCATTCATTAATGTTTCATATGCTTCTAAAGAAGGTGAGCCAAAAACTATCGATAAAGCGGTGTATGAAATAAAAGCATCAACGACGAAATTGAATTCGTTAACTTTTGACGGTGATAGTTTCGTTAGTTAGTATACATATCATGGGTACGGCGGCACTGCGCGCCTCCTTACCCATTATATGTGAATTTGACACTTTACGAAACCGTTAACGTATATTTTACAACACAAACGACAACACCAACTTAACCTTAAATATTTATAAAGCCGCCAACCACTTCACTTCACTAACGACTTCGCTAACGACTTCACTAATGTAAAAATAAACGTTCTCACTTACAAAAGTATTGCAACTCCTCCCATTGATGTGCTTCACATAAAGCTCATAATCTTCTGACTCACTTTCTTCTTCATATAGGTCAAAATCACTGTCAAAATAAATGTTAGTAAGTTTTGACAAAGCTAATGAAACACGTTTACCGTTTGTATCGTATGCTTGTATAAACTTTCCATTCTTCATTCCTTCATAAACGCTCAAACTAACTTTACCCTTTCTCCCTCGTATCTGATAGAATGTATTTTCACGAGGAACGAAGAACAAATTCTTGAACTCATGACCGTTGTAGTTTGTTATCTCAATAGTTTTCGTCATTTATATAAAAATAAACTTAAAAAATAAACTTAAAAATTAATGATATCACCACCCTCACACGTATGAAAACATAGCCCAAAAATAATGTTTAGGGTAGAAGGGTAGATCTAACCTCATTTCTACCCTCATTTCTACCCTGTTGAATTCATTGCTTTATAACTCTCTTCCTTGGTTTCTTTTTAGTTGGTTTCTTCACGTCTGTCTCCAACTTGACTGTCTTTCTTCTTCGTCCGTAATGATACCAGTTACTTCCACCAGTCAATGGGTCAAATGGTCGTTCATAAGGGTTTCCATACATTCCATAAGGCCCGTATGGATAAACCGCTGGTGGAGAAGAAACATTTTCTTTAGTTCCATCGAATCTATTTAAATGCATTGTTTCACCTTTCATCTGGTCATTAAAGTCTTTTGCGTGTTTTGCAAACTCATCATCCTTTCCTAAAGCATTTTCTGACTCAGTCGCAACCAAATTGGATGCTTTATTTATGAGCCCTATTTTATTTAATCTTAACTTCTTTGCAACCCAGCCTCCAATCTTCCTTTATTTGCATCTAATGTCTTCGAAACCCTTCCTCCACTCATTTTATTTACTGCGTCATAAGCTCCAAGTGCTTTTGCTCCAAATGCTAATGCTTTTGTTCCCATTGCACCTAAAGCTGCCCAAGCTACCATTTACCCCATATTAAAATCATCTCTCTTCAATATTATCTCATAAAAGTTCTCGTTACTGGAGAAAGTCAATGAAACATAAACGTTCTCATTCATAAACTTATTTCTTATATCATCTATACGCTTCAAAATGTCTGAACAATTGCTAACATCTTCTACAACAGTTATTTCATCATGAATGACCTTCAGAACAAGCTCATTTAATATGCAATTAAAATCATCTCAATAATGAGTCCATCCTTTCCGTCTTTGGGTAGCACAACATCTTTCATTGAAGAAGGTTCGACAAGTCTTATGTTAAACTTACTGACAAAGTTTGTTATACTATAATGCTTCGGCGGCGAATACATGTAGTTTGAAAGACATAATATAGATTCTTCAGCAAATTCACTTATACTGGATTTTATAACAATGTTCTCACGAGACCAAATACCACCAATTGACAATCTTGTAAGCAATCCTGCTGAACCTTCAACTGTAAACGTCGATGGTAAACATTCCACGAAGGTCATCTATTGACATCGTTGAGTCACTGTATTTAAATATTTTCTTAAAGCAATCGTCATTATCTAACCATGCAATAGCTTTGAAGTTTTCATTCGAATATACATCTGCTTCATTAAATGTAAAACCTGACTTCTTTGCAGAGATGACTTTAAAATCTATTGAGTTGTTTCAAAATTATATGCTATGGTAACTTCTGAAGGTAATGGATGCCCTTCCGCAGTCAGTTGTTCTCTCACTACCGTTTGAAGCTTTGTATTAAAACTTTCATGTCATCTCCTGTATCTAAGTTCACATACACAGCAACAGGAAAACTATCTTGCTTCTTTGTTTCATCATTATACCTCAAAACATTAAGTTCTTCAATAATATTGTCCTTCCTGCTGGAATACTTCGAACCTGTCTGATTTCAATAGCTTTCTCACCTCCTACATACTCTACCCAGTGTCTTGGATATTCATAAGTATACTGACTTTCTTGAATTTTGGTTGGTTTCATCATAACGTGTTTCATAGTATATCTTTATACTCTTGTCAGTTAGACTCGGTGCTATGTTCTGAATATTTCTGACTTGCATTTTTTAATGGAGATAAAATGAAGCATTTAATACATGACGTAGATGAAGACATGAATGAAACTACAGACAAACTTAACTCTTCTCTTATTCTTCCTTTCAGCAAAGATTATGAATTCTGTTCAAATGGTGTGTATTTCTATTGTGGAAAGATGGGTTCAGGTAAGACATTTAACCTCATTCGTCATATACTCATAACAGAGCGTTTAGGTCAAGATCCATATTATGACCAAATCATTATATCAGCAACTTCAGACTCTATGGACTCAACAGCGAAAACATTTATGTCAAAAGTTCAAGCCTCTGTCGTTAAAGTTCCAGATAGCGAACTCATTGAATTTCTTCAACGTTACATTCGACGTAAGAGGAAATATTATGCCATCGTTGAATTTATACAGTCAGGAATGCAAAAGACTTCTGAGGAGATGGAAAGAATTATTGACAAACACCACTTACGTCAATACTCAGGAGTTTACGATATGAAACGACTTACAAACTACATTCTATCAAAACTTTCAAAATACCCTTCAAAAAATATCCTTCAAATACTTTGTTAGTTTGCGACGACTTCGCCGGAAAAGGTTTAGTTTCAAAACCAGACTCACCATTAGCTAACATCATTACTAAAGTCAGACATTACACTTAACTGTAGCAATACTTATGCAAACATGGAGGTTTTTAGCTTTAAACATAAAACGTCTCATAACTGACTTCGTTATCTTTCAAGGTTTCTCACGCTATGACATTGAACTCATTTGGAAACAGTCAGTATAACATTACCTTTTGAAGAAATTTGGGAAGCATATAAGTCTCTCATCTCTCCTCGTTCATACCTTGAGATTCATATCATGACTAATACCATTAAAGTCAAAAATATTCCATGGAACGACCAACATTATTTTAAAGCTTAACCTTCAATTGACTGATGGTAAAACAAATTCCATGCATCTCTGTCGCCATTTCTGTTAATATTTTTGCTGTCATTCATATCATCCACTTCTCCATCCGTTAACTTTTGAGGATATGCGTTAGAATAGCTGTTCTTAAATGAAGGCTTTTCACCTTTGAGAGCATAAACTCTATAACTTTCTGCATACTTTATGTTTGAACCTCCTGAGCCATCATTGACATAAATTTTTATAGGCTTCCACCCTTTGTTCATATTCCTGCTTCTTCCTTTGCTCTTTTGTTCAGTAGTTCTACATCTTTATACACAGCTCCTGTCTCAGTGAATTCAACAATATTTTCATTCGTTAGCTTTACATTCAAACCCTTGTCGAGTATATTGTTCATTTCATACATATAAAAGGTTTTTATTCTATATGAAATGAGAAGCAAATCCATCTTAGCTGGTGCCGTTAATGTTCCAATTGAACCAACATCAAATGTTGACTCACGAACGACAAACAATATTGTCATAAAGAACTATAGTTCGGAGTGTTTGAAAGAAAAAGAACCAGATCTTAAGTCGGTGAATTTAAACACAACTTCAAACGCTAACGCTACATCAGATGTTAAGTTAGAGTATCCACCACTGGACCAAGTTTTTTCAAGAGAAGCCAACGACAACCCTTACACAAATGTTCAAACAAATCCTTCAGATAACGTAGACCATTACCTTCTTCAGTTATACCAAACAATTTTACTCAAAGACGATAAGAAGCTTTTGACAAATCTTATAAGTAAGAACCAAATAATTCTAACAAAGGAGGACCTTGAAAATATTATATCACGAATAACAGGAAAGCAATGTGTCATTGACTATCTCGACCCTGAAATCGAATGCTGTGGTCAAACTCCAATATTCATGAAAATAGGTAACATCCGCATCATTGAAACACCAGGTACTCCAGGAGTTGAGTTTAAGTATAAATATTCGAACGAGTATACAAAACTATCTACTTACTATAAGCTTTGTTTGAAATATGTTTTAGTAAATTAAAGCAATTTGTAATATCTATCCAAAACTTCTTCACAGTATCGAACTCATCTTCATAATGCAAACCTAATCTTATTGACTTGGTGCAGTTTTCACTAACACAATATTTTTCTGTTCTCTTGACTGACATAACTAACTCATTTGTTTCATCAAACAGCAACAACCAAAGTTCATGACCTAATACATAACATTCATACTTTATATTTTTAGCTCTGAGTTCTCTTGTAAGCTGTTGCATTTAATATTTTCTAAAAAGTCAACTTCAACAGTCATTCGCACTGGTGCCTTCAGTTCTACAGGCTCTCCTTGAAAGTCAACAAGTCTGAATTGCATGTCTTTCAAATTATGAGGACTAATGCGAACCATTTACCTAAATGAGTTGCTATGACAGAACGTTTGGAATGAACATTGAATTGACTGCATAACAGAAGGATTTATATTCTACTGAACCTTTACTATTAACTCCTGAAATACCTGTGACATTAGCTATTTTTGACTCAATGTACAAACAATTGCCATAACATACGTATGGAACAGATTTCATCTCAATCGTTTTGTCAACACTTTTCAAAGGAAATGTCATATGGTATGCTCCCAAAAGAAGTTGTACTCTATGACTCATTCTTGGTATCTTAAACTCTTTCGCATAACTGAACTTCAAAACTCCTGCAATAAGTTTAACATTCATTAAGTTTTCTCCGTTATCCTTGTTTATTGTAGTATTTATGAGAGCATTTAACACTCCAGCTAATGTTTCCATCTTATATTCTACATTATTGTGAAATCTTATTTCGTGCTTCTTTCCATCTATTCAATCTCCATGAAATCTGTTTCATCTGTTATAACGAATGAAGCGATAGTATTGAAGTCAACCATTCTGAATGCAAGTGGCTCATTCTGTAGACCTAAGTTTGTTTGTAGTTTTACTGTCCCGTATTCGTTTGGTCTGTACTTTGCAAATAGAACAACATTTTATTCTCATTAAAATATGAGTATAGCTGCATATGCGTATGAAGCTGACAGAGCTAAACGTTTATATTTTTGGTCAATACTCTCTCACACTTACTGACAAATATATTGTTATCAGTGATGGAAATACCGAGAAATACATAACATGGAAGGACTATGAAAAGTTTGACCCCATTTTAACTCCATGCACTATGCCATTCATTGTAAATGGTGAAGTTGTCATGAAGAACGACACAACAGTATATAAGTCTGTTCATGAAGCGTTAGAATATATGTTGAATTATAATCCCGAAAGATTTGACCCAAGCACTACGTCATGTACAATGCCTTTTATTAAGGATGGTGAAATCGTAAGAGTTCCGGATTCAACGGTTTACACAGCTGTTCAAAACAGTTTACAAAACATTTTAGCGAATATCTTTAATTCAGAAACTACAGAAATAAAATTACCATATATAACAGATGCTAAAGAAATTAAATCAAAACGACAACATTATTTACGTCACTTAATGATTAATGACTTATATCATTAATATTCCTGCACCAACTACAGCATTTGATCCAAACTCGACGGTTTGCAGTGTACCTTTCATAAATGACAGTTCATTAATTACTTTAAGGGATTCGACAGTAAATGAATCATTAAAGGCGTCATTAATGAAAATCATTGATTTTAATTCATTCATGAATACATATAATTCATTCATTAATGTTTCATATGCTTCTAAAGAAGGTGAGCCAAAAACTATCGATAAAGCGGTGTATGAAATAAAAGCATCAACGACGAAATTGAATTCGTTAACTTTTGACGGTGATAGTTTCGTTAGTTAGTATACATATCATGGGTACGGCGGCACTGCGCGCCTCCTTACCCATTATATGTGAATTTGACACTTTACGAAACCGTTAACGTATATTTTACAACACAAACGACAACACCAACTTAACCTTAAATATTTATAAAGCCGCCAACCACTTCACTTCACTAACGACTTCGCTAACGACTTCACTAATGTAAAAATAAACGTTCTCACTTACAAAAGTATTGCAACTCCTCCCATTGATGTGCTTCACATAACAGCTCATAATCTTCTGACTCACTTTCTTCTTCATATAGGTCAAAATCACTGTCAAAATAAATGTTAGTAAGTTTTGACAAAGCTAATGAAACACGTTTACCGTTTGTATCGTATGCTTGTATAAACTTTCCATTCTTCATTCCTTCATAAACGCTCAAACTAACTTTACCCTTTCTCCCTCGTATCTGATAGAATGTATTTTCACGAGGAACGAAGAACAAATTCTTGAACTCATGACCGTTGTAGTTTGTTATCTCAATAGTTTTCGTCATTTATATAAAAATAAACTTAAAAAAATAAACTTAAAAATTAATGATATCACCACCCTCACACGTATGAAAACATAGCCCAAAAATAATGTTTAGGGTAGAAGGGTAGATCTAACCTCATTTCTACCCTCATTTCTACCCTGTTGAATTCATTGCTTTATAACTCTCTTCCTTGGTTTCTTTTTAGTTGGTTTCTTCACGTCTGTCTCCAACTTGACTGTCTTTCTTCTTCGTCCGTAATGATACCAGTTACTTCCACCAGTCAATGGGTCAAATGGTCGTTCATAAGGGTTTCCATACATTCCATAAGGCCCGTATGGATAAACCGCTGGTGGAGAAGAAACATTTTCTTTAGTTCCATCGAATCTATTTAAATGCATTGTTTCACCTTTCATCTGGTCATTAAAGTCTTTTGCGTGTTTTGCAAACTCATCATCCTTTCCTAAAGCATTTTCTGACTCAGTCGCAACCAAATTGGATGCTTTATTTATGAGCCCTATTTTATTTAATCTTAACTTCTTTGCAACCCAGCCTCCAATCTTCCCTTTATTTGCATCTAATGTCTTCGAAACCCTTCCTCCACTCATTTTATTTACTGCGTCATAAGCTCCAAGTGCTTTTGCTCCAAATGCTAATGCTTTTGTTCCCATTGCACCTAAAGCTGCCCAAGCTACCATTTACCCCATATTAAAATCATCTCTCTTCAATATTATCTCATAAAAGTTCTCGTTACTGGAGAAAGTCAATGAAACATAAACGTTCTCATTCATAAACTTATTTCTTATATCATCTATACGCTTCAAAATGTCTGAACAATTGCTAACATCTTCTACAACAGTTATTTCATCATGAATGACCTTCAAGAACAAGCTCATTTAATATGCAATTAAAATCATCTCAATAATGAGTCCATCCTTTCCGTCTTTGGGTAGCACAACATCTTTCATTGAAGAAGGTTCGACAAGTCTTATGTTAAACTTACTGACAAAGTTTGTTATACTATAATGCTTCGGCGGCGAATACATGTAGTTTGAAAGACATAATATAGATTCTTCAGCAAATTCACTTATACTGGATTTTATAACAATGTTCTCACGAGACCAAATACCACCAATTGACAATCTTGTAAGCAATCCTGCTGAACCTTCAACTGTAAACGTCGATGGTAACATTCCACGAAGGTCATCTATTGACATCGTTGAGTCACTGTATTTAAATATTTTCTTAAAGCAATCGTCATTATCTAACCATGCAATAGCTTTGAAGTTTTCATTCGAATATACATCTGCTTCATTAAATGTAAAACCTGACTTCTTTGCAGAGATGACTTTAAAATCTATTGAGTTTGTTTCAAAATTATATGCTATGGTAACTTCTGAAGGTAATGGATGCCCTTCCGCAGTCAGTTGTTCTCTCACTACCGTTTGAAGCTTTGTATTAAAAACTTTCATGTCATCTCCTGTATCTAAGTTCACATACACAGCAACAGGAAAACTATCTTGCTTCTTTGTTTCATCATTATACCTCAAAACATTAAAGTTCTTCAATAATATTGTCCTTCCTGCTGGAATACTTCGAACCTGTCTGATTTCAATAGCTTTCTCACCTCCTACATACTCTACCCAGTGTCTTGGATATTCATAAGTATACTGACTTTCTTGAATTTTGGTTGGTTTCATCATAACGTGTTCATAGTATATCTTTATACTCTTGTCAGTTAGACTCGGTGCTATGTTCTGAATATTTCTGACTTGCATTTTTAATGGAGATAAAATGAAGCATTTAATACATGACGTAGATGAAGACATGAATGAAACTACAGACAAACTTAACTCTTCTCTTATTCTTCCTTTCAGCAAAGATTATGAATTCTGTTCAAATGGTGTGTATTTCTATTGTGGAAAGATGGGTTCAGGTAAGACATTTAACCTCATTCGTCATATACTCATAACAGAGCGTTTAGGAAACGACTCTTACTATGACCAAATCATTATATCAGCAACTTCAGACTCTATGGACTCAACAGCGAAAACATTTATGTCAAAAGTTCAAGCCTCTGTCGTTAAAGTTCCAGACAGTGAACTCATTGAATTTCTTCAACGTTACATTCGACGTAAGAGGAAATATTATGCCATCGTTGAATTTATACAGTCAGGAATGCAAAAGACTTCTGAGGAGATGGAAAGAATTATTGACAAACACCACTTACGTCAGTACTCAGGAGTTTACGATATGAAACGACTTACAAACTACATTCTGTCAAAACTTTCAAAATACCCCTTCAAAAAATATCCTTCAAACACTTTATTAGTTTGTGACGACTTCGCCGGAAAAGGTTTAGTGTCAAAACCAGACTCACCATTAGCTAACATCATTACTAAAGTCAGACATTACCATTTAACTGTAGCAATACTTATGCAAACATGGAGGTTTTTTAGCTTTAAACATAAAACGTCTCATAACTGACTTCGTTATCTTTCAAGGTTTCTCACGCTATGACATTGAACTCATTTGGAAACAGTCAGGTATAACATTACCTTTTGAAGAAATTTGGGAAGCATATAAGTCTCTCATCTCTCCTCGTTCATACCTTGAGATTCATATCATGACTAATACCATTAAAGTCAAAAATATTCCATGGGAACGACCAACATTGTTTTAAAGTTTAACCTTCAATTGACTGATGGTAAACAAATTCCATGCATCTCTGTCGCCATTTCTGTTAATATTTTTGCTGTCATTCATATCATCCACTTCTCCATCCGTTAGCTTTTGAGGATATGCGTTAGAATAGCTGTTCTTAAATGAAGGCTTTTCACCTTTGAGAGCATAAACTCTATAACTTTCTGCATACTTTATGTTTGAACCTCCTGAGCCATCATTGACATAAATTTTTATAGGCTTCCACCCTTTGTTCATGTTCCTGCTTCTTCCCTTAGCTCTTTTGTTCAGTAGTTCTACATCTTTATACACAGCACCTGTCTCAGTGAATTCAACAATATTTTCATTCGTTAGCTTACATTCAAACCCTTGTCGAGTATATTGTTCATTTCATACATATAAAAGGTTTTATTCTATATGAAATGAGAAGCAAATCCATCTTAGCTGGTGCCGTTAATGTTCCAATTGAACCAACATCAAATGTTGACTCACGAACGACAAACAATATTGTCATAAAGAACTATAGTTCGGAGTGTTTGAAAGAAAAAGAACCAGAACTTAAGTCGGGAGGCTCAAAGAGCCCATCTTGGCGCATGGCGCCGTGAATTTAAACTCAGCTTCAAACGCTAACGCTACATCAGATGTTAAGTTAGAGTATCCACCACTGGACCAAATTCTTTCAAGAGAAGCCAACGACAACCCTTACACAAATGTTCAAACAAATCCTTCAGATAACGTAGACCATTACCTTCTTCAGTTATACCAAACAATTTTACTCAAAGACGATAAGAAGCTTTTGACAAATCTTATAAGTAAGAACCAAATAATTCTAACAAAGGAGGACCTTGAAAATGTTATTCACGAATAACAGGGAAACAAAGTGTCATTGACTATCTCGACCCTGAAATCGAATGCTGTGGTCAAACTCCACTATTCATGAAAATAGGTAACATCCGCATCATTGAAACACCAGGAACTACAGGAGTTGAGTTTAAGTATAAATATTCGAACGAGTATACAAAACTATCTACTGACTATAAGCTTTGTTTGAAATATGTTTTAGTAAATTAAAGCAGTCAGGAGGGCTCTTTGAGCCCATCTTGGCGCTTTGCGCCGTCAGTCAAAAAATTTCAAGTTAGCAATTTGTAATATCTATCCAAAACTTCTTCAACAGTATCGAACTCATCTTCATAATGCAAACCTAATCTTATTGACTTGGTGCAGTTTTCACTAACACAATATTTTTCTGTTCTCTTGACTGACATAACTAACTCATTTGTTTCATCAAACAGCAACAACCAAAGTTCATGACCTAATACATAACATTCATACTTTATATTTTTAGCTCTGAGTTCTCTTGTAAGCTGTTGCATTTAATATTTTCTAAAAAGTCAACTTCAACAGTCATTCGCACTGGTGCCTTCAGTTCTACAGGCTCTCCTTGAAAGTCAACAAGTCTGAATTGCATGTCTTTCAAATTATGAGGACTAATGCGAACCCATTTACCTAAATGAGTTGCTATGACAGGAACGTTTGGAATGAACATTGAATTGACTGCATAACAGAAGGATTTATATTCTACTGAACCTTTACTATTAACTCCTGAAATGCCTGTGACATTAGCTATTTTAGACTCAATGTATAAACAATTACCATAACATACATATGGAACAGATTTCATCTCAATCGTTTTGTCAACACTTTTCAAAGGAAATGTCATATGGTATGCTCCTAAAAGAAGTTGAACTCTATGACTCATTCGTGTTATCTTGAACTCTTTCTTGCTACTGAACTTCAATGTTCCCTCAGAAGAGAGTTCGACATCTATGTTGTCAATAGTTTCTTCATTTATGAGAGTATCTATGACTCCAGCAATTTTATCTATTCTATACTCTGCTCTGTTAGGAAATGTTATAAAACTTCTTTTGTCATCTATTTCAAACTCTATGAAATCTGTTTCATCTGTTATGACAAAAGTTGCGATAGTATTGAAGTCAACAACTCTGAAAGCAAGCGCTTCATTCTGAAGACCTAAGTTTGTTTGTAGCTTTACTGTCCCGTATTCGTTTGGGTCTGTACTTTGCAAATAGAACAACATTTTATTCTCATTAAAATATGACTATTGCTGCATATGCGTATGAAACAAATGAAGCAAGAAGAGCACATGAACTAGTAAATGAAACTCAACATTAACCATTGAAGGCAATGATTTAGTCATTGACGATGGAAAAACTAAAAAAGTCATTTGATTTCGATACTTTTAACACTTATGACCCATTCATTACAACAAGCAAGGTTCCCATCATAAATGATGGAACGGTGCAATATATAAATTCTACAGTAGATGCTCATTAGTGAAAGTACTGAATGTTCTCATTGAATGTTAAAGAGCTTTCGATTTGACGACAACATTAAATGCCTAAAGAATTTAGTCATGAATGAGAAACAAATTCTCGGCGTTGCTGGTAGCATAATGATGTACACCTTATGACATTAGAATATTATAACGAACATAAAGATGAACTGAAAGGAGAGAAGGGTGACACGGACCTCAAGAGGAATACAAGGAATTACAAGGACCTCAAGGCGAAAACGGTTTGGATGGAAAGGATGGAAAGGATGGAAAAACTGCTAAATCATGGATATGGGACCTTAAAATACTGGTTTAACAGCTGCTTCATATGGAGTTCTTCAATACCAAATCGGAAAGATATGGGCAGTACTTGGTGAAGAAGCTTTAGATGACGTTAAAAATGCTTTGAACTTCATTTCAAATGGTTCGGATACTATTAAAAACTTTATCTGGTTGGATGCAAGAAACAAGGAGTCAAATAGATACTGTAAGACGTATAGCAAACAATGCACGTACGGATTGGATACTTTACGAGAAGCACAAAATACACTAAAGGAAGCAAATGATATTCTTGGCTCAGTATCAGACATATGCATGAAGATTGGCTTAAAGGTATTGACAAATCTTTAAAAAATCACAGTCAGTCTATTGCTGACTACAAGAAAAGTATAGATTTTTTACATAGTGCTATGGACGTACATGATGGAAGCATAAGGAACTTACTTAATGCTAACAATAACTTACCAGGAACTATTAAAGCATTTATAAAGTCCTTTGTAAAACCTGGTGCTCTAACATTTAGGTCTTTGAGAGCAAGAGCATTGAAGTCAAGAGATGCAGAAACTCCAACAGAAGAACTGAAACAACAGAAACTCCAGAAGAACCACCAAAACCAACAGCTAATGAAATATTGTTCGAATATTTCCAAGGTACTCTGTTCTCATTGCATACATTCAAGAAATACTTAAGAAAGCAGACTTGATTTAGGAGATGATGAAAGTTCTGTATATCTTTCGTTTCCAGTTTCAAATAGCAGAACTTTTGAGACAGATATGCTTAATGTATGACAACATCTCTGATTTCACAAGATATGATGACGACCATGACCCCGAACACGGTGAAGAAGAAGTTTTCAAACATCCATTAAGACAGGAAAGGTTTTAACTCAAAGTCTCATTATTGACACCAAAGATGGCGAAGTGGACGTTCTTCAAGAGCTGGAAGAAAAATACTTCTTCGGGAGGTGGTGGTAGGCATGAACTTGAAATAAATGAGATAGAAGAGAAATTAGCCGAAAAAGCAGATAAAGAACATAAACACAATATCTCGATATAAATGAACTTCAAGCTACATTAAATAGTAAAGCAGATAAAAATGAACTTGACGCAATGAACAAAGTTTTGAAATCTCATAAACACAATATCTCCGATATAAATGAACTTCAAGCTACATTAAATAGTAAAGCGGACAAGAACCATGTTCATTATATAACTTCAGACGAACAGATTATAACGGACTACCATGGATATTTAACACGAAGTGATGAAGCGAAGACAAAAAATGTTAATGAAAGAAGATATAAATACATTCGTGCTAAAGGTTATGACATAAGCTGTACTGTACAGTATGATGTAGCTAAAGCACCAGAAGCATTTGTTATACCGGTGAAATTTATGCCTCTACTTTCAATGTTAACGGTGTATTAGTTGAACCAAGATTTACTTTGAGAGTTAAGTCAAAAATAACGTTTGAAGATGCTATTAAAAGTAAAGCTGACAAAGTTGAACTCGAAGCAATGAACAAAGTTTTGAAATCTCATAAACACAACATCTCCGATATAAATGAACTTCAAGCTACATTAGACAGTAAAGCTGACAAGAACCATACACATAAATCCTTCACTACTGTTAGAGCAGACGACATAATATTGAACTATACCCTTGGTTCAAGTGCACCTTTAGAGAATCCAAGTACAAGCGTAAAAGATACACTAAACTCCTTAAATAACAAATGTATGAATATCGAAGGTCATGTCAGAAACTTTGAAACACATGAACTAACCAGCAATGTTAGATAAAAAAGCAGATAAAACTTATGTGGATGCAGAACTAACAAAGAAATTTTCGAAACCAGATACAATGACATTTACAACAGAAATTATAAATGGTGAACCAGCAACTCCATTTGAATTTGTTAGAGGTCTTCAACCAGATACTTTTGAATTTTTCTTGGATAATTCTATTGAACTAACATTACATTATAAAAGTGGAACAAATGCAACATTTCATCCGGGAGATACATTCCAAATGGTATTTAATGACATAAGTTCTTTAGAATATGTTTATAGAGTTATGAGCATATATGATTTAATATATCCTATAGGAGCTGTTTATACGTCTATGAATCCAATAAATCCAAACACTTTATTTGGTGGTAGATGGTATGAAATAGTTGACAGTTTTCCATTCTACACTAATACGCAGTCAATGAAGATGGGAGGTTCAAAGAAAATAGGTATTGAAAACCTTCCTTCACATATGCATAGGTTCAGTGGAAGAACATCTGTGGAAGGAAACCATTCACATTCAATAACAAAAAGAGGTTATATAAATCTTGCAGCGGGTTCGGATAGACAGGGAATGAATAGATATGATATCTCAGATGACCCCAAAGATGTTAGCACAGGTATTTTCTGTGGAACTGCAGGAAATCATACACATGTTGTAGCTGGTATTACAGACCCAGCAGGTAATGGAAAAGATTATATGCCTCCTTATATAACAATGCACGCTTGGATACGAGTTGGTTAAACTCTTTAACTTTACATAAATGAGCTTGAAAGAAGTATTCGAACAACATCCATGGAGGTCATTTAAGAAGTTCAATGAAGCTGCAAAGAGTTGGGGATTTACTAACAGAGCTGAAGTGAAAAGGTTCTTTGACAAAAATGTTGTACATCAAACAAAAATAAACCCTTACGACTACTTTTTACCAATTTACTCCAACACTCCTGACGCATACCAATTTGACACTCTCATTCAAAGCAGAAAAGGAGGACATAAACCATTCCTCATCTTCATAAATGTTAACACTCGTAAAGCATATGCATATCCAATGAAAAATAAAGGAACTCGTGAAGTGTTAAGAGTTTTACAAAAGTTTGTAGCAGAACATAACCCAAGTACTTTAACATCAGACCAAGACAGTGCATACCTCAGCAATGAAATCACAGAATTTCTCATTAAGCATAACATAACTCACTACACTACTGAAGACCATAACCATAACATACTCGGCATCATAAACCGCTTCATAAGGACTCTCAGAGATTTAAACCAAGAGCGAGACTTTACCGAAGAAACAATGAAACATTTTCTCGAAGTATATAATTCCTCAACACATTCTACAACAGGACATACACCAAATTCAATGACACAACAACAAGAAGAAAAGTATATACAAAAGAAACGAAGCCAAACACAAAATATCAGAAATTCAACACAATTTACCCTCATTCCTGGTACAAAAGTTCGTGTAGTTCTTGACGACAAACCGTTGACAAAGAAACGTTTAAGGTTAAGTCGAAATTATTATATCGTAGACTCTACGCAAGGTAATGGATATCTTATAAAAGCTGCTGACGACTCCATAGCATTTTACCCTCGACATAAATTAGTCGAAAGTAGTAATGGCAAACTTGCTGAAACCATTGACGAAGCAAAGCGAGGAGTGGTTATTGAAATACTTGGCTATAACATAAACGATGACACTTATAAAGTAAGATATGAAGGAGGTGTTGAAGATGTTATACCATCTAAGAACTTGAGAGAGTCAAAGCCAACACATCTGGGACCATTAGAGCGGGAGTACTGGAAAGACAAAAATAAGCCAGAAAGAATAAGAAAATTCTTCTAAACTTTTTCATTAGATGTAAATCAGACATGAATGAGAACAGTCATGTATTATTAATGGTACCATTTATTTTTGTCATAAATTTACACCAAAAAAATATAATTTAGGGTAGAAGGTTAGATCTAACCTGTTTTCTAACCTGTTTTCTAACCTCTTGAATTTTCATGAATTTTCATGAATTTTCATGAATGTTTTGTCATGATTTCATCGTAAATGTTTTGTCAAACATGAACGTAAATGTTTTGTCAAGACTTCTTCGTAAATGTTTTGTCAAGACTTCTTCGTAAATGTTTTGTCAAGACTTCTTCGTAATGAGTGTAAAGGACCCAAAAATATAATTTAGGGTAGAAGGTTAGATCTAACCTGTTTTCTAACCTCTTTTCTACCCTCGTGAATTTTCATGAATGTTTTTGTCATGATTTCATCGTAAATGTTTTGTCATGATTTCATCGTAAATGTTTTGTCAAGACTTCTTCGTAAATGTTTTGTCAAACATGAACGTAAATGTTTTGTCAAACATGAACGTAAATGTTTTGTCAAGACTTCTTCGTAAATGTTTTGTCAAGACTTCTTCGTAATGAGTGTAAAGGACCCAAAAATATAATTTAGGGTAGAAGGTTAGATCTAACCTGTTTTCTAACCTCTTTTCTACCCTCTTGAATTTTCATGACTTCTTCGTAAATGTTTTGTCAAGACTTCTTCGTAATGAGTGTAAAGGACCCAAAAATATAATTTAGGGTAGAAGGTTAGATCTAACCTCTTTTCTAACCTCTTTTCTACCCTCTTGAATTTGTCATGATTTCATCGTAAATGTTTTGTCAAGACTTCTTCGTAAATGTTTTGTCAAGACTTCTTCGTAATGAGTGTAAAGGACCCAAAAATATAATTTAGGGTAGAAGGTTAGATCTAACCTGTTTTCTAACCTCTTTTCTACCCTCTTGAATTTTCATGACTTCTTCGTAAATGTTTTGTCAAGACTTCTTCGTAATGAGTGTAAAGGACCCAAAAATATAATTTAGGGTAGAAGGTTAGATCTAACCTCTTTTCTAACCTCTTTTCTACCCTCTTGAATTTGTCATGATTTCATCGTAAATGTTTTGTCAAGACTTCTTCGTAAATGTTTTGTCAAGACTTCTTCGTAATGAGTGTAAATCAGACAAAAATATAATTTAGGGTAGAAGGTTAGATCTCACCTGTTTTCTAACCTGTTTTCTACCCTCTTGAATTTTCATGACTTCTTCGTAAATGTTTTGTCAAACATGAACGTACATGTTTTGTCAAGACTTCTTCGTAATGAGTGTAAAGGACCCAAAAATATAATTTAGGGTAGAAGGTTAGATCTAACCTGTTTTCTAACCTGTTTTCTACCCTCTTGAATTTTCATGAATTTTCCCGAAATAAAAAAATAAAGTTAGTTTTATTTTTTTTTTATTTTTTTATTTTGTATGTAAAGATATGATTTCAACAATCGGCACAACAACAATTCAAACAACGGCACCAAACTCGTTAGTCATGAATCCTACGTCAATGTTAGTAGAGATGAAAAGCTTCATTCCTTCTTCATATACTTTTGAAACAGAAATCCAGAAGATAAAGCAAGAACTTTTAACAAGTAATTTAGACTGTAGTGCGAAAGATGAAACAAATGAACAGTATCTTTATGAAATGCAGGACATTATTGACCATTTGCCTAAACTACCTGAAATTCAGCAGCAAAAACTCACTATTCCTGAATTCGATGAAATAGAAGTGAAACCAACTGACTCAGTAGAAATAAAGAAGTTCATACGTAAAGTAAATTATGAATTCCTTGGATTTCATTGCAACCATAAGGTTATGGACAAAGATTGCGACATGGTATATAAGAATGTTTCTGACATATATACATCTGAAGAATTTAAGACCTACGACAACTTTGTTTCGTTAGTTGCTGAATGTGTATGGCAGATAAGAGATAAAGATAGAAGATGTAAGGTATGGAATGAACAAATAAAACCAGCAACTTTTGAGTTAAAGAAAACCATTGACGCTTTAGTTGTTTTAGCTGGTTTTATTTCAATGTATAACGCAAAAATGAACCCGCAATGTTCTAAATGTAAGGCAGCAATTAGGAAATATAACTACTCCGTCAAAGAGATAGAAAGAATGAGAAACGACTATGCAGACTTAAAGAAAGAAGCAGAGAAGCCGGTAGAAGATAAAATGGACATGTTAGAATTTCTGAACAAAAACTATCCAACTGCAGAAGATTTCCTTCTATCTGACGTCAAGAAGAAGTATAAAGAAACTTTCGGTATCGTTAAAACATTCGATGTACTAAAAGAAGAAATAGAAGCTACAAAACTGTTTAGAGTCTCACGAATTCATAACGTTTACCATGTGAAACGCTTATAAAATAACTGGGGTAGAAAAGAGGTTAGAAAACAGGTTAGATCTAACCTTCTACCCTAAACATTATTTTTGTCTGATTTACGCTCATTACGATGAAGAAGTCTTGACAAAACATTTACGATGAAATCATGACAAATTCAAGAGGGTAGAAAAGAGGTTAGAAAAGAGGTTAGATCTAACCTTCTACCCTAAAATATATTTTTGTCTGATTTACGCTCATTACGAAGAAGTCTTGACAAAACATTTACGATGAAATCATGACAAATTCAAGAGGGTAGAAAAGAGGTTAGAAAAGAGGTTAGATCTAACCTTCTACCCTAAAATATATTTTTGTCTGATTTACGCTCATTACGATGAAGAAGTCTTGACAAAACATTTACGATGAAATCATGACAAATTCAAGAGGGTAGAAAAGAGGTTAGAAAAGAGGTTAGATCTAACCTTCTACCCTAAAATATATTTTTGTCTGATTTACGCTCATTACGAAGAAGTCTTGACAAAACATTTACGATGAAATCATGACAAATTCAAGAGGGTAGAAAAGAGGTTAGAAAAGAGGTTAGATCTAACCTTCTACCCTAAAATATATTTTTGTCTGATTTACGCTCATTACGAAGAAGTCTTGACAAAACATTTACGAAGAAGAAGTCTTGACAAAACATTTACGATGAAGAAGTTTTGACAAAACATTTACGAAGAAGTTTTGACAAAACATGTACGATGAAGAAGTTTTGACAAAACATTTACGAAGAAGTTTTGACAAAACATGTACGATGAAATCATGAAAATTCGAGAGGGTAGAAAACAGGTTAGAAAAGAGGTTAGATCTAACCTTCTACCCTAAAATATATTTTTGCTGAAAAATGACCAAATTTCATGAATTTCCTTAAGATAGAAAAAATAAAGTTAGTTTTATTTTTATTTATTTTTTTATTTTGTATGTAAAGACAGATATGTCAACAACAGAGAACACAACAACAGTTATAGTCCATGAAGCTATAAATGAAGAATATGAGTACATACAGTTTAACAAACAACTCCGTCTCATTCGTTCGGTCAAAGACGATATGTACCAAATGCAAAGTATTTTGACAGCATGTTTTGCTCCAGATACTAAGAAACCACAAGACTGGTTTAGGAACCAAAGCACACAAGAACTTTTGAGCGAAGCACAGCGAGACATACTTTTTTCTGAAAACAGTGAAGAACAGCGAGTAAGTAAAAAACCGCAGTCGCCAAAACTCTATGAAAACAGTGAAGAACAGCGAGTAAGTAAAAAACCCCAGTCGCCAAAACTCTATGAAAATCGTGAAAAATTGCCAAACGGTTTGAGAGGATATTATGTACATAGACTTCTTGTAAATGCTGTTGCAATGTGGGCTTCTCCTCGTTATGCATGGCATGTTTACAGACTTCTTGACGAAATTCATAGACAAGAACGTGAAGAGCTAGAGAACAAGCTTGAAGCAAAAGACAAAAGCATTCAGAAAAGAATACCACGTTCGGTACCAAAAGGAAAGGAAAAGAACTATAAGTATATGATTTATACTGAAGAGATGGAAAATGAAGAAGATAAAGATATGGTTATGTTGCATTTAGTCAGAAGAAACAACAAAAGCTTTTACGACCTTGCTAAGATTTACAAATCTGACAGAAATTGGTTCTATCGCGAAAACTTACCGATTTCAATGACCCCAAATGAAGATGTGAAACAAATAGTTCAAGATACGTTACCTCAAACACACTATGATATTAAAGGTTGTACAATACTTACATTCAAAGAAGACTTACCGCTACTGAAAGAAAAAATAACAGAGTATTTTGACAACTTCAAAGAGGAAGAATAAAAAAAAATCTAAGCTAATTTTATTTTTTTTATAAAATTTTATCTCATATGAAAGAACATGAATTTAGAATATTCGGAACTCATGACAGAAGAAGAGAACGAACAACATGTAAAAGATTATGCAAAATTTCTGAAGACATACAAAGCATTTAAACAATATCTAAATGCTTCTAAAGATTATGCAAAATTTCTGAAGGTATATAAAGCTTATGAAAAAGCATATGAAAAGTTTATACATTGGGGAATTGTTGTAAAATATCCATATGAATACTAACCAAAAATATATTTTTGCTTAAATAGCTTCAGGGTCAATTTCTTCAACCATTTCACTTCCTTCGTCAATGTCAATTGAAGCTTCTTCAACCTTTGGTAGGAGCTTATGTATAACATTTTTGTTCGTTATTGTCTTCAGAGATGAAGGATAATATTTCACATTTGTTTCACCCTTCTTATATTCTTTCTGTTCGGAAAGATTCATAGCAATACTGAAGAAGTCAATGTTAGAGTTCTTTATGACAGTATAATGAGTATCTTTGACATTCACGAAGAAACTCTTTTGTTTCAAAACTACTGCTAACTCTTGTGAAGTATAACGTTTGCGGTCAATGACAATAGCTAATGGTCTGACATACTGACCAAACTTAGATTCTTTCACAAACTTCTTGTTAAAGATAACATTAACATTTGAAGCATTATTGAACTCATTCTTGATGGCAGTAGCGAGAGCATTGTATGAAAAGAACTTGCAATCTTGCATGTGTTTCATTATAATAAAAATATTAAATTATTTTGAAAAATAACTTAAAAAAATCTAATCTAATTTTTTCAAAAATATTTTTTTTATTTCCTACTAAAGATGTATCGGAAGTTGTCTAAGTTAGAACACTCGGAAATAAAACAACTTCTTACAGAAGCTAACATAGATGTTGCAAAGCATTACGCAACAAACAAAAAAGCACTTGCTGACTTCATTAAAGACTATAATGGTGCAATAAGTTATGATAGAATTCATGAGTTCATAAAGCCGCAACGCGGCGAGGACGAAGTCCATGCAATAGCATTTCCTTTAAATGACGTTGCTATTGACTTATATCATAGACGTTCAGTACCTCATGAAGTAAGAAGAGAAATGTTTGACATAACAAATGCAAACATTGGTCATACTCGTAAAGCTCTTTCGCATGATGTTCGTCAAGAGATGTTTGACATAACAAATGCAAACATTGGTCATACTCGTAAAGCTCTTTCGCATGATGTTCGTCAAGAGATGTTTGACATAACAAATGCAAACATTGGTGAAACACGAAAGAGAGACGACACACTGAAACAACAGAGAAGAGAGATGTTTAAGAGCGCTATAGAACAAGTTCGCAAAGCTAACGATGTCATTCGTTCCATTGACGACAAACCAAAAGAAGGTGAGAGATGGTTAAAGAAAGATGAAGAGAATAGGAAGAGAAATGTGAAGTCAGGCAATAGACTCATTGACTTTAACATCGAAGCTTTAGATGAACCAAACAGAGACTACTTACACAAACATTTCGGTAAGGTTTTCATGAGACTCTTAGAGAAGATTAAAATAAACTCCCAACAGAGATGGATGGTATGTTATAAACTTGGTGGAAAGTATGAATGTTCTACGTTAAACCTCAATAATATTGGAACACTACTACATCAGCTCTTGAAGGAGAACTTTATATCAGAGATAGAAGCAAATGCTGCAGGTATTGTTGAAATGCACTATGACTTCTTCTTGACAAACATAAAGAATCTTACTGAAATAAAGATGTATGATTTAACAGAATATGAAGGCTTAACGATGTCAGATGTAAAGAAAGGCAAACCAAAAAAGAGACCATATAGAGATGAAAGCACACTGACAAATGACCAGAAAGCCATTTTGGAAGCTCTTAAGCAAACAGGAAACCCAGCACTTATAGAAAGCTTTTGGAAAGATAATGGTGAAAAGAAGTTTTATAAGAAGAGAAGCGGTCAGTTCTGGAAGTATCTTTGCACATTACCTATAAATCTTGAACGCTACCAAATCTTCAATGAACTGAACAAAAGAACTGCAACACTTATGACAGAAGACAATTGTTTCGTTTATGCTTGCATTCAGGCTGGAGTAAATGAAGAAACTATTGACCACATGAGAGAAGTCATTCGTGTTAGAGACTTTCCTCAAAGTAAAGTACAAGAAATTTCTGACAACAGGTATAGCATTTAATGTTACCATTGGTTATTTCAATGACTCAAGACATAATGAAATAAAGAGATACATACCAAAAGAATGTAAAACTGTTCGAACTATTGACTTACTTCTTGTTGAAGACCACTACATGCTAAACGAAAGATTACCAATGACAACATATTTCATTCGCAACTATATAGAAATCTTGAAGGAGTGTGGTGGAATGAACATTGAGAAACAAATGAAGATTTATACAAAGAGAGAAGATAAATATGTAGTTCGTTATGATAGAACAACACCACTATGGGATGTTATGAAAACATTGTGGGAGTGCAAATATTTCGAACCTATTTCTTATGGAGAACTTTTCACATATACGACTGACTTATATAAACAGAACCTTGCACCATTTAAAGATTTGACATATGCTCCAAAGTATTGTGTACAACTGAAGAAGAAAGCCGAGTCAAAAGAAGTAAATAAAAATAAGTGCAAGTTCATTCCTGAGCACGTTTTCTTTGCTGACTTTGAGTGTAGCACAGACGGCTTTCATAAAGCTTTTAACATCTGTTATGACAGTGAAGATGGTTCAGTGAGTGAAAGCATTTGGGGTCAGAACTGTGCAACAGAATTTTTGGAACGACTTCCTGACAAGAGTTTAATATATTTCCATAACCTCAGTTATGATATAAACTTCATCTTAAGACACATGACAGAAGTGAAAGGAACTCCCATCATTAAAGGTTCACGAACAATGCAAATAACTGGCTTATATAAAGGAAGGGCAATTATTATAAAAGACTCTTACAGTGTTATAAATAAGAAGCTTAAACTATTTCCTGCTATGTTTAACTTACAAACAGGACCGAAAGAAGTATTTCCATACAACTACTACAGCAGTGTTTTGTTAGCAAATGACAACAGAACTGGTGTCATTTCTGAAGCATGTAAGTTTATCCAGGATGCAGATACGTTCATGAAAACATAGATTCCATCAAAGGTTGCAGAATAGATGAAAACCACTTCGACTTAGAAAAATATAGCTCATTTTATTGCAAACAAGATGTAAGAATTTTAAGAGAAGGTTTTGTTAAGTTCCGCAATGACATATTGAAAGAATTTGATTTAAACGTTTATGACTACGTTAGTATTTGTTCTATTGCTAACAAATTGTTTGAGAACAGAGTGTACTTCCCGAATGGAAATTTATGACCTCTCAAATAAACCAAGAGAATTTATTTCGAGATGCATTCAAGGTGGAAGATGTATGTTGTCAGATAACATGAAACAAAAGAGCAAAAAGAAACTCATTGCTGACTTCGACGCTGTTTCATTATATCCATCCGCTATAGCAAGATTGTATACTTTAGAAGGTATTCCAAAGGTTATGAAGAAAGAAATGTTAAGCACAGAGTATCTCATGAGACATTTATTCGATGACGACCAAAAGGAACCCATTGGTGAAAAGTTTATGTCTGGCTTCTTTGTTCTCATTAAGATAACAGAGATTGGAATACATAGACACTTTCCTTTAATAGTTTGTGACCCTGAACTAAATCCAGAACTTAACGTTCCCAGAAGTTCAAACACTTGCTGTTTAATGTATGTTGACCATATAACATTACAAGACCTCATAAAATATCAAGGTGTCAAATGTGAAGTGTTGCAAGGATACTATTACGATGGAAACAGAGATATTAGAATAAGAGATGAAGTAAAGAAGTTGTTTGAGTTAAGGTTAAAGTATAAGAAAGAAGGAAATCCTTTGCAAGAAAATATAAAGCTCATTCTGAACAGTATTTATGGCAAAACTATTCTATCTCCTATTGAGTCAAAAATAACCATAGTAAATGACAAAGATGCTATAAGATATGCCATCAGAAACTACAACCATATAGTGAAGTTCGAAGGTTTGGATGGTTCAGATAAAACTATTTTCAAGCTAACGAAAAGCATTTGCAGACACTTTAACTTCTGTCCACTTGGTGTTAACATTCTGTCTATGTCGAAGAGAATAATGTGTGAAGTATTCTGTACTGCTGAGGACTTATGGTTTTTATAGCCTATAGCGACAGATATGCATCTCTACAATGAAGATATCCTCGTTTAGCTGAAGAGTTTGAGAAACGTTATGGAAGAGTTCTCATTGGTAAAAACCTTGGTCAATTTCATAGCGACTTCGCAGAAATAACACCTGGAAAACAAAGTTTAGCATACAAGTCAATATTTTGTGGAAAGAAGACTTACATAGACTTACTCACGAATGATTTAAATGAAGTTGCATTTCACTGCAGAATGAAAGGCGTGAAGCAAGATGTTATTGCTTTAACCGCTAATGAAATGTTTCCTGACTCTGTTCAGTGTTTCTATGATGAAGATAAAGGTTTAATGGTTCCGCAAGGAAAATTTGACAAAGACTCTGAGTTCAGTTTATGAAGTTTATATAAAGCACTTTATGACGGTCAAGAGATTGGATTTGACTTATGTAAGTCTTCTAGTCCTTGCTTTGCTGAAAAGTTTAACTTCTCAATAACGACTAAAACAAGCTTTATTCGTAAGTTGAAGTTCTGAGGTCATTTATTTTTGTCAGCAATGAGGTCATTCATGATAAAAATAAGCCGCTAGCGGCAAGGGCGAAGCCCATGTGGTCATTTACAATACTGCGATGGTAGAGTTTAAGAGTTGTGCTTCAATGTAGAGACAGTCCTTATGGTCTGGAGGTAAGAACACTGGGCAGTTATGGTCATGAGTGGAGAACATGTCTATCCAAAACTCACGATTGAAGCCAGTTAATTTATAGTATTTAGGGTTAGGAAGTGGTGAAGTTCTTGTATGACCAATGAACTCATTTTCAACTCCCTTACTTAAGTTTGAATATAATATAGCTTGCTTTCTATCCCAAATGCCAGGTGTTACAATCTTTGAAAATTCATTTTTCCTCGGAAGCATTGCATCATAATTGAAAACATTCTTGAAATCATCATTGGTTCAGAGATTTGAAATCTTATACGTAATGGATTTTTTTTCTTTTAGCGACTTCATTGAATGGTGAGAATACAACAAACTGACAGTCATGTGTTCCATCTTCATTTTCATTAAATTCATAATGAAAGTCTATAAGTTGTGGCTGACTACCTTCTTCTTTCAGTTGTGCAAGAAACTCACGTAAAGGCTGTAAAGTTTGTACTTCAATGTTAACTTTTTCTCGAACATTCATTAAATGAAATCATACATTGCAACAATGTTGTATCGTCTTTAAAGTATTTGTATATGTGAATGTTTTGGGCGCTTAAAGACTGTTCGTCATTTTCTATCTCGACTTGAAGTATAAAGTCAACCTTTCTGAAAGCACGTGTTATATACATAGATGTTATGCCAATGTACTTCTCTTCATTTATGTTCACAATCCAGTCTGTTGGAAACTTAAACGTTACTCTGTTCCCCTTTATTTTGACGTCAGGGTTTTCACTACTGAACGCAACAGATAAAGGTATTTGTCTATACATTTAATTCGGATAAAAATAAACCATTTACTCTTTCTTTGCTTCAGCTTCTTTAGCTTTTGCTTCAGCTTCTTCTCTAGCTTTCTTCGCCAGCAAACGTGGGTTCTTTTGTCTTCCAGCAGCTAATGCAGCAAGTTGTTTTTCACTAAGTTTTCTCTTTGGTCTCTCTGGCTTTTGTTCTTGTTTTTGTTCCTTCAGTTCGGATAAAATTTGCTCACGAATTTCTTTCTTCAATGCTTCAACATCTATGACCCCTTGGGTCTTGTCCGTAGGGCTTGTCTGAGTCATTTGACTGCAGATAAAAAACAAAATTAAAACTTTAACCGATGTAAAATGAGCTTGTCAAAATCAGAGCGAGAGTCTATTATATTAAATGACGCAAGAGGAATACAACATCCTTTCTATTACGTAAGTCAGAGTAAAGATGGTAAAATATACGTAAGAAAAAGAAAGGTTCCATTAGCGAATGCAGAAAGCGACAACATTAATGGTGCATGGCAAGGGTGAAGTCCATGTTAAAACCTTCTGTTCAAACTGAAAAGTCAATAGAACCAGAAGAAAAGAAGCCAGATGTACTTTCAATAACGAACCAAGAGCTTATTGCAAAGTTCGTGAATTTCATTGAAAAACAAACCGAGTCAAAGAACCCTGACCCGCCAGTGAAAGAAGTTGAGACAAAAGAGAATGTACAGTTCATTGAAAATGTCAAGAAACAACTTCCACCACGAATGCCAAGAAGAAGAGTGAGAATAATGAAGTAAATAGATATTTTTATCCGAAGTAAATACATGCAGAACGAACAGTTAAACGAATTTACTCCAGCAGAGCATATTCATCAGATTCGCTCATATTTCGATATCATAGACAATGCAGTTCAAATTGGTGACACTAATAGAAAATATTCTGACGCAAAGATTCCATCACAACCTGGAACTGCTAAAGATAACACATGGGTAACATTCAATCTCTCACCTCCTGGTGAAAATATGTTGGACCTTTACAATACATTCATTACGTATAAAATGGAAGGTCAATTTATTGTAGATAAAGAAATTGGTTCAGGTTCCAATAAAACAAACCCACCAGGATTTTGGATTGGTTTCGATGACGCTTTCTATGCAGTTGCTGGATATCAAATCCTTGCAAATGGTCGTATCGTATATTCTCAAGACAACGCAAGAGAAGAAGCATATATAACTTCAAACTCACAAACTACCGAACAAATAAAGAAAGTAGATGTTTTCTCAAAGACTCGACATGAAGATGTATGGAGTCATTCGGGAACATGCAGAACAGGACAAATTGTTAGTGGTCCAATTACAGCAGGAAAATCATTTGATTTTAAGCTTCGTTTAAGAATTCCTGTTAGAAGATTCCTTCCATTAGAAGCTATTCGATTTATTCCAGCTTTTGCAGGAAACATTCAGCTTAAAGTAAAGTTCAGTAGCGACGCCTTACAATGCACATCTATATCTGTAAATGATATCATTGCTTTCAATCCAACTCTTAAAGTTGCATTTGCTTCAGATTCAAATCCACCGACAAATAAATTTGTTCCATGGAATGAACCATTCACTATGATAACGAAGGCAGTAGAAGCTAGTGGAACAGTTACTATTACAACTGTAACCCAGCAACTATTTCGAACAAAGATGGATTTTAATGAATGTTTCATTCATCCAAAGTCATTCTCTTTAGACCCTAACATTTATACAGAACTTGTAGAACATTATACAAACGAGGCTTTATGTTTTCCTGTTAAAGTTATGGATTGGATTCCTATGGACGGTTCATTCTCAAAGAATACAGATAGTTCAAGTGCAACATTTACAGCAGCTTATACGCCTATTAATGTTAAAAGTATTTGGGCACTATTTAGAAAGAAAGACAACTATTATGTTAATTTTGAGAACCCTAAGTTTAAATATCTTCAGCTTTCCATGGGAGCTTATGGAAATATGCCTGCAGAACCTGAAAAATCATATGGACCTGTATTTTATGAAATGGTTGCGAACGCTTGCAATACAAACAATGATATGATAGGATTTAATGAAGATGTTATGAGGTCATTGGTGGATGATGGTAGTGTGGAACATAAATGGGATAGCTATGACAACACACATTTCTTATGTGGTTTTCCAACAGAAGTGGACTTTTGCTTCCAGCAAGGTCAAACATCTACTGCTCCAATAACATACAAATTGTCTGTTAAAGGACCTATTGAACTAGCAACTGAAAAGTACCAAAGCCACTTATTGGATTTATGAGGGATTGTTGCTTTGCCATTCAGGTGCGTGCTAATGGCATCCAATAATAAGATTGATGACTATAACTTAGCTACGGACGACAGTGAGGAATAAAGGATGAACGTTTATTTTTAAAGCTTATAAATGAGTTCTTCATCAAGCTCTCGTGAACCTTCACCATCTATGAAACAAACTTTACCAAACGATTATGGAGCACCTATTGAATATTTCTTACGAGCTGCACAATGGCAAAGAGCAGTCTCACCAAGGTTAGGTGTTCCACCAGCTCCTGTCAAAAATAGCATTTGGTCAAGTCCTTATATAAAATATGGTCTCCCACTAGGTTTGCTAGCTACAGCAGGAGCAGTTATGATGTTGAAAAGAAATAAAGCAAATGTTGTAAATAATACTGAAGTAGCTGAAGTTAAACAAACTCGAAAACAACGCCTTCACAAGCAAACCTTCAATGACTCCTGAACCTATGGAAGTACAAACTCCTGTTCAAAAGTCAACTCCTAAACCGACTCCAACATTTAAACCAGAACCTACTCCTCAAATAAATCGTAAAACTCCTGCGTTTCCTTACTGAAAAAATAACGTTATTTTTATTTAATATTAAAATTTTTATTTGATTGAAATGACAAATAAAGTCACTGAAGCAATGAAACAAAAGTTTTTGGTAGAATACATTAAATAAGGAACTATTCCAGAAGGTTTTTACATTCATACTATGAAGGATGGTAGAGTTCAGTTTAGAAAGATAAAGCAACCATTAGATAAAGAAGGAATTTTGAGAAAGATTAAACTTCATGAGGACAACATTGCTGAACTTAAGAAGAAGTTAGAAGAGTTGGAGAAAGGAGAGAGTATAAAGCAATGAATTCAACAGGGTAGAAATGAGGTTAGAAATCGGGTTAGATCTCACCACTTCACCTAAATTTATTTTTTGTGCTATGTTTTCTACGTGTGAGGAGGGGTGATATCATTTTATTTTTTATTTTATTTTTTAAAATTATTTTTATTTTATTTGGATTAATGACAGAACAAAAGCAACTCATACAAATCAAAACATATAACAAACATACATTTAAACATTTATTCTTCCTTCCTGAGCATAACATGTTCTTTCAAATACATCCGAGACCAGTTGACTTTTCATTGACTGTTTATAAAGATAGAAATAGTTATATCATTAAACCATACGATGATGAAGGTAAGTTATGTAAATTGTACGTTAAGAAGTTAGAGAAAGTTTATGGCTTCAAGTATGACTACAATAGGGTTAACACTGATGATGAAGATATTGAGGAAAATTTATGAGAACATTAGTGAAGTTGTTAGTGAGAACGATAGTGAGAACGTTTATTTTTTACATTAGTGAGTTTGTTAGTGAAGTGGTTGGCGGCTTTGTAAATATTTAAGGTTAAGTTAGTTTTTGCGTTCATGTTGTAAAATATACGTTAACGGTTTTGTAAAGTGTCAAATTCACAAGTATTGGGTAAGGTGGAACGCAGTGCCACCATACCCAAGACTTGTATACTAACTATAATTTCAGATGTTTGGGCTGTTGGAGTCACATTATATTTATTAGCAACACGGAAATACCCATTTTTCTCTCTTGATATCGAAGAATTGAAAAAGAAAATAGCGTCTGGCAAATTTGATGAAACTGAAGTTGAAGATCTATTACTTCGAGATGTTATTATACGCTGTTTAGATATAAATCCAAAGTATAGAATTACCTGCAGCGAAATTTTGGAAATGCCGTACTTCAAACCAAGGCAGCTCCCAGAGATCCCACTCAGCGCTATCAATAGAATTAATTCAAATATGTTTATAGTCAAACCTAGAATTAGCGAAAGGAAATCAATGTTCGCTCTCTTGAAATCTTCACGCTTAAACGTACTTGAACACAGGTGTCATAAGTAGATGGATATTTATTAGTTTTATTCTTTTTTTGCAATTGTTTGTTATTATCAGTAAAGGAAATTAAATTTGGGAATTTTTATCAACGAATCATCGTTGGTGAATATTTTAGTTGAACTCTGAATCTCTATTTTGGTTATATTTCGTATCTATCTTCGAATCTTAATTCCCACATTTGTGAACTCAAAGTATGAGTAATTTCGTCAAATCACTGGAATATTATGATCCTATTCACACTCAATGTTACCAATGCATTGACCATTCATTAATTTGCAGTTTCATGTTTTATACTTTCAATTCCGATAATTATTTCTGACAAAAATGAGTTTGATAGCGACTCCATCTCGCTCTTTTGCAAAGATTACTACAAAACTTGTAGATGGATTTGATTGGATATCCAAGAATGAAGAGGGAAAATCAATGATCTTTTCAACAGGAGATAATGGAAAATATCCAGATCCTCCAGAGGCACTTGTAATGGCATTAGGCGCTTGTGCTGGTGCTACAGTTAAATCAATATTTGATTTCAAGAAGTACAAATATTCAAAGCTTGATTTAGACCTTGAATACGAATACACAAAAGTACCACAAACCAGAGTCGAAACGATCAATGTTACTATCAATACTGATGCTGAAATTGAACCAGATAGAATGAAAAAGATTATCGAGACTACTGAAAATAAGGGATGCTATGTTGCTGGATCTCTTAAATACCAAGTTAACTTAAAGATGACATACAAAAAATTTTAAAGACACGAACTGTTATAAATAATTGATCAAGTTTACAAATTTTAAAATTTTTTTCCTCCAAATTATGTTTCATAATCATAATCATTTTTAAACAACCATTTTTTATGTTCAAAAATTAATTATCTGAAACTGTTGCTGTTCTAAATTTTATATATGATTAAATAGAACATTATCTTGCTGCAATTCAATAAACAATACTTTTACTCAAAATACGCATGAGAAATGGAGTGGGGGACAAACTCGCCCATTGTCACTTTTTCATTAACCTTAAACTTGTAATTTTCATTATTTTTAATTAACCTTATTTCGTTCCCAATTCCTGATTTATTTTATTCACTTACTATTAAAAGTCACATTTTAATAAAATATAATAATTTATTTATAGCATTTTTTACTATACTGTAATAAAAAATTAATTATAATAAATTAAATGTTTATTAAATCAAATGTTTTCTTTGCAATAATATTTTTAATGTTGAGTAAACAATGTTGGGATCAAGTGTATCATTTTTCAGACCTTTCTGAACAGCTTCAAGCATACTGCTGCATTCGACTTTTTTTAAATTGTGTCATTTCTTCGAAATCTCTTGTGACTTTTTTGATAACTTTAACACTTCTCTCTGAATCCAGACCTTTAATTTGCAAAGTAAGATCATGAGATAATAGCAATATATGTTTAAACCAACTTATATTTTGGTTGTACACCACTTGTATGTGCCGGATACCATTGTGTCAAATTTTTTCTGAAATTAACTTTAAAAGTACTAAGTAAGATCATGAGATATAGCAATATATGTTTAAACCAACTTATATTTTGGTTGTACACCACTTGTATATGCCGGATACCATTGTGTCAAATTTTTTCTGAAATTAACTTTAAAAGTACTAAGTAAGATCATGAGATATAGCAATATATGTTTAAACCAACTTATATTTTGGTTGTACACCACTTGTATATGCCGGATACCATTGTGTCAAATTTTTTCTGAAATTAACTTTAAAAGTACTAAGTAAGATCATGAGATATAGCAATATATGTTTAAACCAACTTATATTTTGGTTGTACACCACTTGTATATGCCGGATACCATTGTGTCAAATTTTTTCTGAAATTAACTTTAAAAGTACTAAGTAAGATCATGAGATATAGCAATATATGTTTAAACCAACTTATATTTTGGTTGTACACCACTTGTATATGCCGGATACCATTGTGTCAAATTTTTTCTGAAATTAACTTTAAAAGTACTAAGTAAGATCATTTATTTTTGCATAATATAATGCCAATATGGTTTCTTTTGATTTTATTTCATTTATAAGCAAATCAGATTTACCCAAAAACTCCACTCCATAAGCGTTCATTTGCGAAATTAAAAAGTGACAATGGGCTAGTCTGTCCCTTTCTCGCTGTTCTAAATTTTATATATGATTGAATAGAACATTATCTTGCTGCAATTCAATAAACAATACTTTTACTCAAAATACGCATGAGAAATGCATCACGATCATTAAAATAAATTATATGCTTGGGCGCGTAAAGGGTTGGCGTCCTAAGGCGTCCTGATGTAAACTATTCAATTTTTGAGAAGTTTACACCATAATTGAATAGTTTATGGCGTCCTGAGAGGAGATTTCAATGGGTATGGCGTCCTAAAAAATAGAAGAAAATGATTTTTTCTCGATTTTTCTAGAAATTGAATTTTTTAAAAAAGAAAAAAATCAAAACGTATACATTCAAGAAAGACTATAAATGAAGATTTTTCTATTTTTTTTTCATTCTAAAACATCTTTTTTTGGATAATTTTTTTAATAAATATGTAAGAAAGATTGAAGAAAAAGTAAATTTACTTTAAGAAAATTCGTTTTACATGATGTAAGACCCATAACAACTATAAATATTCAATTATTTAAAATAAAAAAAGAAAAACAGATTAAATGTATCTCACATCAAAATCCATTGACCTAAGGATGTTAAGTTTCTGTTTTTAAAAGTTGATATTTTTTTTTAATTTTAAGAAAATTAATAGCATGTTTTTAGACAATAGGAGTGTAATGATATTGACTAAACAGAAATGAGAGAATAGAGATATAATTTTGATAAGCAATATTGCGAACAAATTCTGAAGTAAAATCGCGATCAATAATTGAAAATTACGATCATGTACTGAAAAATGACGATCGAATTGAATGAATAGAATTATATCTAAGAAAAAATAAATTGTATTTAGAAGATGAACAAAGAAAGGTGTATGCTAAAAATCATTTAACAATAAATGGAAATAAAACGAAATTGTTAAAAGAAAAAATGAAAATTGTTAAATAATATATATTATTTTTTAGTCATAAGAATAAAAATATAGTAGTTATAAAAGGAATTAGACTTCATATATCAATTCTTTTTCTCTGTAGATGTGGAACGTTTGCTTTTCGATCTCTTTCGATGAACTTGAAAATATAAGTTATTATCGCTGAGAATCCTTTCCGAAATAGGAGCTTTACGTTTAGGAGGATTGTCGGATGAATTTTGTTTTTTATTGTTTGATTTTGTTGTTATGGAAGATTTTTTCTTATTTTTTTCAGAATTTTGCTTGCTATTAACTGAAACTTGTTTTGACGGCCCAACAATAGCATTTGTAGTAGGAAGAATTCCCAATAACGAGCGCATTTTCGATAATTGTTTTTCAATATGATCAAGAAGGTCCAGCTTATGTTCTAGATTACTAGACATTTGATTTGTAGAAGGATGGTTTTGATTTTCTGGTTCTAAATCTGTAGAGTCTGCAATATTTGAATTTTCGGAGCGAATTGGAGCATCTGAACCTTGATTTGTATCGGCTTGCTCAAAATTAGTTTGAATTGGAGTGGATGAATTAAAATCTGGATGATTTAATGTTTCATTAAATAATGCCATAATTTTTTCTCTTTTTTCATTAATAAACTTAGTGATCATTGTATCTTTATCTGTTAGATCGATCGATTTGAGTATATCTGCATCATGAACTGGAATATTTTCGAACAATGAACTCGATTCTATGGAACCATATGGAGAAATCTCGTTCTGAGCCAAAGAAAGATCACTTACGTTGTATTGTTTGATAGAAAAAATTGTTTTCTCAAGTTCTTTTTGAAAGCAGTCAAGAATATAATTTTTGTAGCTATCAGTGATAACGGTTTTTATATGGCGCTCGATCTTCTGGTTATTTTTGATGGCGTTATATTTATCTAATTGGATTTGAGATATCTTCTTAATAGCTTCATAAATGTTTGGATGTTTTAACGAAGAAAATTCTGAATGCATACTCTCGAGGCAATCATTAGTGAATATTGCAGTTGCATTATTATATTGAGATATTAAATTGTAGTGCGGCAACCAAACTTTGTTGAAATAATCAATATAATCTTTGATCGAATCAACTTTATTTTGATTAATTATATGCATTGTAAGTACAAATTCTTCATGAGACATGAATGGAGTAATAGAATATAGCTTAAATAAAGAATTTTGTAAAGTATTGAAATTTTTTGTATAAAGTGCTACAAGTTTCCTGTGTAAAGCTTGTTTGAAATGAAATAGGCATCCAATTATACGGACTTTAGGGAAAATTTGTTGAAGTGCCTCTATCATTCCCTTTTCAAAATCACAATGAATTTGAATTAGCTTTGAAAATTGAATACCCTTGACAGTAAAAATATATTCAAATGCCTTCTTATAAGATTCAAATGTGCGGTTTTTCATGAATATAAATAAAAGTGGTAGATATTGATTTGTTGAAGGTTCACAAATCATAATTGTTAGCATCTGTCCTTTTTGAAAATGTTTTGGTGTAATTTTAAAAGTTCCATCGCAAAATAAATCTGTGGCTTCTTTTGCAAATTGAATTGCCTTCTCAAAACCAAAAAACATCGTCTCACAATTTGCTTGAAAATCATGGCCAATGAAAAACTGCTCGCCATTTATTAAACAAAAATTAGCAATTTCATCGTCTGTAATTTTTTCTCCAACAGAAAATTTTCTGGACTTATTATAAACTTCCCTGACCAATGAATCTTTAATTAATGGGTTTTCATCAGTACCAACAGCAAGTTCTGTCATAAATTTTTTAATCTGCTGAAAAGTGCCGTTGTCTTCAGAAAATTTTGCCATTGCCTTATTGTATATTTCTGTCAGAGTCATTGATTTATGAAGATCATTTTTTTCATTTTGTAACTTTTTAAATTGTCTGCATTCGGGTATATGTTCCTTTTGTAAATCTTCGGAAACTGAACTGTTCTCAATTTTAACTAAATAACGTGCTTGACAAGAATGATCGATGCAACGGTAGTAACGTTCAATATTATTTGAATTAATAATATTTGTATGATCATGCGAATAAAGCATATCTTTGCGAACAATTGTATCAGGATATTTTCCAGTAACTGCGGGAATATTTTTAACTGCAATATAACTAAAATATCTTCTGACAGCTTTAGATTCATTTTCGGCGTATTTAATATTAAAATATTGAAGAACTTGTTTGATTATATTCGTTTTTTCATCTCTCGATGTTGATTTTTGGTATTTATCAGATTGTTCCCTGATAAATATTTTATTTTCGTCTGTAAAGTTTGCTCTTTTTTGATTAAATATAGATGATTTTCCCATTAAAAAATGAAATGATGCAAAATTTACGAAAACCGTTCGAAAATTGAATCAAAAATGAAAAGTAATACTTAAATGAGGAATTCTTTGAGATATTGGTCTTAGATTGAATGTAGCGTCATTCTTATATAGAATATATATTCATATCATCGGAAATATGATAAAAAGCATATAATAAATGTCAAAAAAGTGAACAAATAAGCAAAGATATTTTTTAAAAAACAATGAAAAGTAATACTTAAATGAGGAATTCTTTGAGATATTGGTCTTAGATTGAATGTAGCGTCACAAATTTCACAAATATAATTTACTATACAATTTTATTCATTTTTTTAAAATGGCTGACGACAGTCTGTATCAACTAACTCAACTAGTCAAGCATAATGATTATTCTTCGGATTCATTAAATCAACTTTATCAATGCATAAGTACAATGACAGAAAGATCAATTGGATGCTTGAATTGGGATAAATTTTTCAAAAAAATCACAGTGACTGATGAAGTTCTTTTACATTTTTTAGCATCCGTTTTAAACATTGAAAAGATATCAGAATGTTTCAAGGATTCTATTTTTTATCACAATATTAATCTTGAAAAATTCAGTAATTTAACTGAAACAGAACAACAAACAATTTTAAATTCCTACAAAGCGGATAAATTTACATATTACATAATGTGCTCACAAATTGTAAAATCAAACTGGAACAATTTATCCCAAACTTTAGTTAATATTGCAAATCAATATTTGCCATTTTTAGATGAAGAAAAGCAAATATATATATTTACTGAAATAACTGGCAATTATCAAAATTTTGAAATTTCAGTTGCAAACTTGTTACTTTTTTATGAAAACAATGAAGAAAAATTAAGCAACTGTTTTAATTTAACATTGTTCCAGCAAATTTATTCCAAAAATGGAATCGAGCAAATGATATTTTTTGCTGCAAATACAATTTGTTGCAATAACACTTCTATCAATTTTTACAATCTCCTTGAAATTGAAGAAATGAATCCATTTGATTTTTTTTATTTCTCAATTCAATATAAAGAGATATTAAATTGCGATGATTTTCCAAAAGTTACAGAAGTAATCACAGGTTTAATCTCAGCTTCAAATATTAATGCTATTATGCGAATTTGCCAAAAAATTTTGGATAAAATTACATTTTATAAATGTAATTATTGCCATATTACCTCAATATGGAATTTTATCACAAATGCAGCAATAATTCTTCCTGATGAAGATTTATTAATCAAATTATTAAAATTCATAGAAAAAACAGAAAAAGCAACAGATGAATTATTCGAACCGGAGAATGATTTGGGTTTCTATGAATATTTAAATTCGATTTTCTCAGATATTACATCTGCGAGAAATAAGCAATTTCTCTTGGAATTTCTAAATACCCATGAAGATGACTTCACTTATGATCAAACATTGTGAGGTAATTTTTGATCAACAAATTAATTGAAATTCCGATCAAAAAAAAATTCACAAATTGGATCAAAAAAATCGAATCTCAAGTTAAAAATAAAAAATTTCTACATTTTTATCAAATTTAGATTTTTTTTTTCAAATCATGCGAATTGATTGAATAATTGCATATTTTATCCCATGCATCTAGAAGTATGTGTAATATTTTTGCTTTCATCACGAAATTGTCGAATTTGATCTTAATTTTTTTTGAAAAATATACTTTTAGAAAAAGAAATAGTGATTGAATAGCTGCCCATGCTGTAAAAGGGTTATTTTTACAAGTAAAAAAATTGTTATTTTTCGAGCAAGTCGAGGCTTTTTTACCATCTTATTTTTGAAAAATTTACGAAAAATTATATCTGAAAAAACGCTTCATTTTGATATCTTACAATGATAAAATACCAATGTTGATGGGATATAATAGCTACACCTGGACATCTACTACATTAATGCGTATGACAGGTAAAGTTGATTTCAAAAGTATAGCCTGGAAAGATTACAATAAATCAACGATAATTCAAAAAATTTTCTTATAAGTTAACATAATAAAAATTTAATTTTTATATTGCTTGTATTATACTTAAGTATATAATATATTTAAATCTTAGAATGAAAATTCGGGACGCCCTAGCTATTCAATTTTCCCTTAGGACGCCCATAAACCTCTCAAAAATGTGATGTAAATATCACAATTTTGAGAAATTTACACTAGGACGCCTTAGGACGCCAACCCCCTTTTTTACCATATGCTTTCTCCAAAATATAGTATTTTACTTATTTAAAGAAATAAATATGAAACTTTCATTACAAGCTTTACCATGGTTCATAAATTATTAATGGACGAATATTCTATTGAATTGGAATTGATAATTAGGGAAATTCTGATCGTTTTTTATTCAATTTTTTTCTATAGATGATTCTTTTATCTAATCTCATATCAACTTGAATGATTAATTTTTTTGAGGCGATTGTCGCCGAGAAAACATTATGGCCAAATGTTGTTTCAAATTTTCAAAAAAATTTTCAATTTTTTATAGAGATAAAATCGATCATAATTAGCTTCTTTACAATTTTTATAAGTTAAATAATTTATTTGGTTGTTTATTTTTTGAATATGAATTGAAATTATTTTCTCAAAAATACTTCATTTATGTTAAAGTACTTCCGATAAGAACTTTTGTATGGCCTTATCATAACAATGCCACTTATTAACTTCGGTTTCTGCATTGTGTTTAGTTCTCCAACAGTACCTCTGTTTCGAGATGAATGGAGAGCACCTTCGATTCAAACCACAATTTTCAATGCAATATTATCCTTAGCAGCAGTTGTCGGACCTTTTGTAGCAAATGGATTACTGAAATTCTTTAATCAAAAAGTTTGCTATTTCATTTTGCAGATATTTGCTTGCTTGTTCTTTTTGCTAATGCTTCTAGCAAATTCGAAAAAAATTTATGTCATGATTATCTTGAGAGCACTTGAAGGAGTAATAATGGGTGCAACTTCTACAATTTGCCCAACAATGCTCATTGAAGTATCTCCAAAAGGAATGACCGGATTTTTGGGTAATCTTGGTCAACTTGGTCGTTGTATTGGTGCATTTGTACTTTACTTGGTTGGCAATTGGACCGTAAATCTCAAAAGAGAAAGAAGACATTTGCAAGCTTTGATTCTTATGTGCGGAATCTTTAATTTTATTAGCAGTCTCTTGATTTGGTTTGTCCCAAACAACTTTAGAGGCTCTGATAATTCATCTGAAGAAACAAATGAAGAAATTGACAATCAGGATAACAATAAAGATGCAGAAGAAAAAGAGTCAATTCTAGAAAAGAAATACTTGGGAAAGCTTGCTGTGGGTATCTGATTGATGATTATACAACAGTTTTCAGGAATCAATGCAATTTCAACAAATCTGGATGATGATTTTAGAGATGCTGGCGTTCCTTTAGATTCTGGAATTTGCGCTGCAATTACTGTTGCATTCCAGATCCTGGCAGTCTTCTTAACTTCATTCCTTGTTGATAAAGTTGGAAGAAAGCCGTTATTTACTATTTCTTGCGTTGGCTGTGGAGCTACATTGTTTATTTTCTCAATGAACTACCAGTATAAATGGTCCAACTGGATCTCTTGAATATGCATATGCCTGTACATGTTCTTCTTCGGAGTTGCACTTGGACCTGTTCCTTGGTATATTATTCCAGAGATCAATCGGAAATTCAATTATCTGTATTGTGAATCAATTGTTCGCTTTCATTGTTATTTTCTTATTCCCAATTATGAGGGGAAACAAAGATGAATCAACTGGAAAATATGTTGGTGGTATTGGTTTTATGTCATCACTTGTAATTTTTGCAGTTATTGGCCTTCTAGGAGGCATTTTCGGCTTCTTCTTCATTACAGAACCAAATGCCGAAAATTCTGTAGAAGATAAATCAGCTGATATTGCAGAAAAGCCATAATTGCACACAAATATATAATATTATTATAGTGAAGAAATATATCTTTTTCATTTTATCAGAAGTCTTTCGAAAAGTGACAGATCCTCAACATGAAATAGATTAGGAATAGAATTTACTTATGATTCGCTTATATACACAACAATATCCAGTAATGAAGTTCGTACTGGCACAATGAACAACGGTCCGGCCTATAAGACATGCCCAACAAATTTAGTAATCCCTAAATTTGTTTATTATAATAATATTGAGTTTTCAGTTGTTGGAATTGGAAGAGAATCATTTTCTAGATGCCGCACAAATAACCTCACAATCCCCAATTCACTTAGATTTATCGAATATGGTGGACTTGATATGATGGATTTTAAGTATTTCAGTGGGATTCCACAATGTTTAGAAAGAATTGAAAAATATGCTCTATCTAGTAATTATTTTGACTATTATACTACTCCAAAATCCTTAATTTCCATAGGAATTGCAGCCTTTTGCAATCTACCTAATTTAGCAGGATTTTCTGTTGATCCCAAGAATCCTAATTATTGTTCTGACGAATTTGGATCTTTGTATACTAAAGATCAATCTGTCTTGATTCATAGTCCTTCTCTGTAAGGTACTTCGAAATTTCAAAGAAATGTAAAGTTATCAATTATCGAGCAATTTGTAAACCCAATTTAACCCGAATTGTCTTTCCTATGTCTGTCGAAATTATTTCCCAGTGGGCAATTGAAGGTACACGATCTTGTATTGAGATTGTTATTATTGGAGAGCTTAAATCAATTTCAAATTCTGCGTTTCATAATATTTATAAAAATTCTTCATTTTTATTTATGGGAGGGAGTTTCATTAAAAATAAGATTTTCTCTTCCAATATTGACAATGTTAGCGTTTGCAATGGCTATAGATATCAGACATTAGGTTCAATTTCACCTATAAATATTCTTGATACTTGCTATGCTCATATTATTTGCTACACAGTGAGGCAACAGAGTTCTTTGATCGATATAAGGCCATTCATTTTTGTTTTCCTTTCAATATAATTTTTTTATTTGATTTGCAGCCATTTGTACTTCTTAATGACATATAATTGAACCAGATATTATGAATTTATTAAAAATAGCTATGTACTCAAATATTTTTTTTTGCTTAATTTTCACATGAGTGTATATCTCGATAAGAGCATAATGATGATAAAGATGTACATATGTATGCTTATATTCAATTACAAATATTAATATTCTAATATATATACTCTTTAATATAAACAAAAAATATACAATAATACCCTACATTCCCAACTTCTGGAAAACGGTTTTTCACCCTTATGATCAGTTTCAGACACTTTGGGAGTCTCCCAAACTTTGATATTTTGCATTATGATAGAGAAACGTGTCTAGTTTAACGCACAGTTGTTTTAAAGGCAAATGATGATATCACATGAAATTATCAAATTATCAAATTTTGAAGTACCAGTCCAAAGGGTTAATTAGATCCTACACAGATGTGCGATAGTGAAACATATATGTTCTTGATTTGAGAAGTCCTACTGATAGAGGTATGAATCTCACAGCTTTGTGTGAGTGTGTCTGACACTTGTATAGAGTGGAATATGCGCCGACATATATTATATAATAACATGTAGTTGATAATTATGAAAAAATAGAATTCGATGCGAATGATATTGAAAGTTGTTTTGTAATTTGATATTTTTCTTATATGTGTTAATTAGTAAATGGCTTGTTTGTTGTGATCGTACTGTGAAAAATGAAAGGTATTTTAAATTAAAAAAATGAGATTTTGAGATATCTCGAGAATTAAGAATTTATTATGTATTTGACTTTTATATAACTATGTGTAAAGGATCTCGATGTCTATATGCTTTAAATAAAATTAAATAAAATGAGATAAAAAATTAAAATGGACAAGAAGATATATGGAAATGTAATTTGTATTGTGTTGGTTGTTGGCAAAATGATTTTAATACAGATTTAAGGATTTGGAATGGATTTGAAATTAAATGATTTTATTTCAAGGAGTAATAAGATTTTGAACTGGTTTTTATTTTGTAAATGTAAACTCCTTCCATAGGATATGTATTAGAAAGATAAATTTTAAACTTTTTGAAAGAATTGTTTTTTTGTTGAGCGATTTTCTCATATTTAATAATATATTTAAGTTGGCGTATCTTACGCCCTTCCAAAAATATGTATTAGAAAGATAAATTTTAAACTTTTTGAAAGAATTGTTTTTTTGTTGAGTGATTTTCTCATATTTAATAATATATTTAAGTTGGCGTATCTTACGCCCTTCCAAAAATATGTATTAGAAAGATAAATTTTAAACTTTTTGAAAGAATTGTTTTTTTGTTGAGCGATTTTCTCATATTTAATAATATATTTAAGTTGGCGTATCTTACGCCCTTCCAAAAATATGTATTAGAAAGATAAATTTTAAACTTTTTGAAAGAATTGTTTTTTTGTTGAGCGATTTTCTCATATTTAATAATATATTTAAGTTGGCGTATCTTACGCCCTTCCAAAAATATGTATTAGAAAGATAAATTTTAAACTTTTTGAAAGAATTGTTTTTTTGTTGAGCGATTTTCTCATATTTAATAATATATTTAAGTTGGCGTATCTTACGCCCTTCCAAAAATATGTATTAGAAAGATAAATTTTAAACTTTTTGAAAGAATTGTTTTTTTGTTGAGCGATTTTCTCATATTTAATAATATATTTAAGTTGGCGTATCTTACGCCCTTCCAAAAATATGTATTAGAAAGATAAATTTTAAACTTTTTGAAAGAATTGTTTTTTTGTTGAGCGATTTTCTCATATTTAATAATATATTTAAGTTGGCGTATCTTACGCCCTTCCAAAAATATGTATTAGAAAGATAAATTTTAAACTTTTTGAAAGAATTGTTTTTTTGTTGAGTGATTTTCTCATATTTAATAATATATTTAAAAAAAAAAAAAAAAAAAAAGGTAGTGGGGCTTCCAGGCACTTCGTGCCCTCTAGCCCCGAAGATGTTTAGTATAAATGAAGTTTTTATTCGGAAAATTGTTAGTCTTCTGGTGTGAATTCGGAGGACTCTTCTTCTTCCTCCATTGCTTCTGGGAAGAAGCCTTCTTCTGGGTCGAAAACATTATATAATGTTTCACTTTTCACAAATTATATATGTTTTCATGTTTTGTCACTTTTCTGTCACTTTTCAGGAAAAAAACATTTTTATTATTATATATAAATGAATTTTACAAAACCTCCGTTACCGTTCTTTGGAAATAAGAGTAAATGTAAAGATATTATATTGAGAGAACTTAAGAAACTACCGAATGGTCTAACATTTGTAGATTTGTTCGGTGGAAGTTTCTATATATCCCATTTGTGCCATACAATATTCCCAGACTCAAAGATTATATGCAATGACTTCGACAACTATATGGACCGTCTCAAACATATACCAGACACAAACAATATATTGAAAGAGTTAAAAGAAAAGATTCAGATAGGTAAGATGGAACGTATACCATTAGATAACAAAAATATTGTGAGAGAGGTTTTGAAAAAAGCAGAATATATAGACTGGGATAGTATATCTGCTAGACTATTATATAGTGGTTCTATAAGAGTTCATGACATTGAAACACTTATGTCAAAAGTTTTATATCTTAACTATACAAATGTTTTCAAAGAGGACATAGAAAAATATATTGAGGGTATAGAGTTTGTGAGATGTCATTGGACAGATTTGTATGAAAAATATAAAGACAAGGAAAATGTTTTCTTTATAGTGGACCCGCCGTTCTATAACACATGGGATTTTCAATACCAAGTAGACTGGACTTTGAGAGACTCTTTAGAAACTTTAGACGTTATACATAACCATCCATGCTTTTACTTTACATCCGATAAAAGTGGTTTGGAAACCGTTATGAGATGGTTAGAGGACATACATGACTATGAGTTTATATATGACAAGATAGAATATGAGAGAGGTCCTATAAACTGGAGAAAGTGTCACAATAAAGAAATTTTATTAGTAAGTAAATGTGGTTTGAAATAGGACTACTTGTTTTAGGTTTTTTCCATTGTGTCATTTATTTCTTTGACGTGGCAGAAAAGTACAGAGAATATGAAGATGAACCAATGCCTGCAAATGTTCAGTATATGTACTCGTAAGAGATATTTTTATCTAATATTAAATGGACGCACAGAACTTAGCGAATGCACAGCAACCTGGACAACCAAACCCAGAGAATATTCCAAATGAAGTTAGAATACAAACTGCAATGGCAAACTATGGTCAAGTGCCAACAGATGTACAAATGCAAACTGCCATGTCAAATGACGCTGCGTTAGGTTTGCCACCATGGTATGCAAATATGAGATGGAAAGAGTTTTATACAAACCCTGAAGTGGGATATAAACAACTTTATGCAGATGACGCGAACACAGGAGTTGACCCAGAATATGTTTTCTACCAGAGGAGAAACAGAATGTATGAGCTCCAGTTAAAGAATGCTATGGAACTCAACAGGAAACGTAAGAGACTAGGCGGACATTAGATTTTTACATATAGTAAAATGGGTTTCTTCAGTAAGATAGGAAACTTCTTTCGAAATGTTGGAAGAGGTATATGGAATGGAATAAAAACCGTAGGAAGAGGAATTTGGAACGGTGTCAAAAATATTGGTAAAGGGTAGGTCAGTTTGTTGGTATTATACCTAAAGACCCTGAACCAGAAGAGCAAGCTCCTGTTATACAACAGCCTGAACCTGCACCACAGTCTAGTTGGCAACTAAATCCAACACCACAACCGGTATATTAAAAAATTATATTTTTACCGTTCGATAGTAGTTGTATATGAAACTAAGTTCTAAGTAAAACGCATGGTATAATGGAATTATTCTTTTTCTTCCATCTGTAGTAAACCATACTTGAAAGTCTGAAATACTTCCACTTGGTGGTTCGTATAACTTTGTAGGTTTTTCGTAAAAGTCATTTGCCAAGCATAAGAAAGAGTTTTTGGGCGCCAGAAAAAATAAGAAGCATGAACAATAATAGCAGCTGGGTCGAAAACATTTTCATATGTTCCATTAGGGTTTTCGACTTCATAAAAGTCTGGGTGTACTGGATATGCTGCAGGCTGATTTAACATCCTCATAAATCTATACCATGCCAAGTTGTTATATTTTGTAGAAATATAAACGTTTTCTCCAAGGTCTTCTATTCTATTGATTTTAACAGTTGCATTTTTCCTGTCATAAATAATATCGAGATGGTACTCTCCCTCGTCAATGTTATACTGTTTTGCATATTCGAGATAGATATCGTTTATTTTTTCTTGAAAAGCTTGAAGAGTTGTTTCTAAGTTTACAAGCAAACTAACTTGTAAAAGTTTTCCCTGTTCAAATTTCTCATACATACGTTTTTCTTTGTTATAGTATCGAACTTCAAAACCGACCGTAAATGGGAAACCATGTATGGCTTCTGAAATGAACTTCATTCTACGAAAGCCAATAGCTTTTGTGACAGATGGGTCTCTTAGCCATCTTAATGGGTAGTCAAAACGATAGCCTTCATGCTTTACGGTCTCTGTCTCAAACTTTTGACCGACATTAGTAAAAAGTTCATCTAATGGTTTAGTTGTAGCAACTCTTGAATTTTCTTTTTCTATTGAAAGCATATTTTATCTAGAATAAAAATGTCGAAAGATATTGCTTCCATGAGAGAAATACAACACAACCGACAACTCATTATGCAAGCTCTAAATAAGAACACAACAAACTTTTCAAACTATTCTAAGATATCTGAGTCATTGAAAGAAGGAAACTTAAAACTGACATTAAACCCAATGACAGATGAGTTTCTGTTTCAAGACAAGAAGAACCATACTGTCTGTATAAATCCAACAAAAGGAACTTTAAACGAGAAACCTATAAATGAACTTCTTTTGAAAGCAGATGTTGACAACAAAGCTGACAAAGAATATGTAGACGATGCAATAGCAAAAGAAGAAGAAAGAGCTAACAATGCTTATGCAACAAAAGAACATACTCATCCTGAACTAGCAGACAAAACATATGTTGACAATAAAATGTCAAGTGAAGTGACAAGAGCTGAAAACAAATATTCTAAAAGGACTCATACACACTCTATATCTGAAATAACAGACTTAAACGTTAGCCTTGAAAATAAGGTAGATAAGGACTTATGGCTAGTGTGTTAGTGAAGAAGGCGGATAAGGAATATGTGGATGAAAAAGATAAAGAAATTATAGAAAGGGTTGACTGGTACCATGAACGGACATCAAAGATTTTAAAAACTAAAGCCGATACAGGATGGGTTTCAGGATGTTTAGACCTTAAAGCAGATAAAACTTATGTTAACGATGAGTTAGAGAAGAAAGCAGACAAGAACCATACACATACAAGTTTTACAACTGTTGCTATAGAAAGTATTGAAGGAACGGTTGAAGAAACTGGTGGGGATGCAATATATTGTAAACCTCCTAACTTTCCACAAGGTTTAACATCGGATGACGACATAACGACGATGAGAAACATTAGATGTAAAGATGTTTATGTCATGAAGGATGAACATAATATTAAATTCACTGCTCAAGATTTATATGACAAGAAAGCAGACAAAACAGAGCTTCAAACATTAAAGACAGAAATGCTTCAAACATTATATCCTATAGGCTCTATTTATACGTCAATGAACTCTACTAGACCAGAAACAGTTCTGGGTTTTGGAACTTGGACTCAAATAGTCGACAGGTTTTTGTATTGTGCAAACTCTTCAAAGGAAACAGGTGGAAGTAAAACGATTTCAGGTGAAAATTTACCTGCACATAGTCACTACATAGATTTAAGTACATCTCAAGCGGGTTGGCATAAGCATAGATATTGGGATTGGTCAGCAATGACAAAAGGTAAAGGATATGATGTTAAAGACAACGTTAAGTTTGCTATAGATTGTTACTGGAGTAACACTGAGGGAGGAGGAAACCATACACATCGCGTTACAGGATATACGCAAACAACGGGACAAAGTAAAGACTACATGCCACCTTACATGACAGTTTACGCATGGTATAGAAATGCTTAGTCGTCATTTTCAACTTCTTTAGCATATTCGTCAGGAGTTGTCTTATATTTGTTAGGAACTGTCTTTGAAAGTATACCACCTTGAACTTTGACAAGTTTGAAACGAGGTCTGACAATAGTAGTTTTATCTTCTGCTTGCAGTGTGTACATTTTGCCATGTTTGCCTAAAACTTCATAATATTCTCTTGTATACTTTCTTCTATTTTTACGAACACGAATGTGAGTACCTGTCGGGTTCCCATTGTTGTCATAGTCAATAGTATTTTCATATGGGTCGCGTTTAGGTATTTCTATTTTTACTTTGTCACCTTTCTGAAGTTTGAAGCCCGGCATTCTTCTTGTTTGTCTCTTTTGACTAAATTATTAAATATATAGTCTTTCTCTAAGTCAGGGTTGTTTTTCATTTCTTCGGGGGAATGGTTTCCCAAACCTTTTTGTTTACGGTTATTGTAAATATTTAAAACTTGTCTCATCTTTGCCTGGGAGAAGTGTCTATATTTGTCGTCATATGACATTTCATTTGCTTCACCACCTTGTGGTTGGTTTAAGTCTCTTAACATTTTTATACAACCGTCAATGACACCAAGAGCAGAATGGTTTTGGTCGACAATGAAATATTGGTTTACATTTTTTGAACGCAGATAGTTTTTAATATCATCTGTTGAAAGAACTTTCAAAGTCAGATGTCAGTTTTGTTGGATGGTATTTGTCAACGAATATTGTCAAAGCAGTTTTCACATCTAAAATATTTTTGGACCATAATGGTATGGCTTCACAGTATCTTGTGTTTTGACCAACAAATATTAACCAGTATGGTGGTCCATCTTCTCTATACCTCGGAATGTTTTCCAAGATATCCATAAACCAAGCATTTGGTGTTGAACTAAAGATTTTTATCATGAGTGCTTTCTTTGTTGCCTTAGAAACATAGGGGTCCTTGTTTGGATTCGTCATTTTTACCCTGTAAGAAATGGGTTTATTTGGCGCATTAGCAGGAGTTGCATCCAGATTTTTGCCCGCAGTGGGAACAATAGCCAGAGGTGTATTTGGAGTTGGAAGGAAGATTTTGAGTACATTAGGTATACTGAAAGAGAAAGCACAACCTATTATACAAACTGTACAGAAAGGTTGGGATGTAGCACGAGATGCAACAAATCTTATTCCAAATCCTGAACAAGAGGAAAAGTTCAAGGATGGATGGACAATGTAGGAAGACAAGCAGGAAACTATTATAACAAAGCAAATGACTACTATAACCAAGCAGGACACTATATGGACCAAGGTGAAAGATTCTTTAACAGAGGATATAACCATGCACAACAATGGGTAAACAATAACCAACCTCAACCGCCTCAAACGTGGGAATGTAAAGTTTTTTACTGAGATGAAATGAACAATACAGCATTGAGACAAATGAGTTCAAGATGGATTTGTCGACTTCCAGCAGTTACACCACGTGTTTGTCAAGTTCTTCCTATACCTCAGGAAGTTTTAGACCGACTTAAAAAACCTAAACAACCAGTTGAAAAAAACCAAACTAAAATTTTTTACTGAGATGAAATGACCGAAGAAGTTGAAACGGTAGATTTGACACCACAAACAAAAAGTTCAGAACCATTGTCAAAACCTGTCAAAGAACTTACAGATGAGAGAAAAATTCAATAATAGAAAGTGCCAGGTCTGAAATACAAACCCCAACTATAAAGTCACTTTTCATAGAAATGGAACGGCTAGTATCTCAAAAAAGAAACAGACTCTCACAAATAAAATATTGAAGTCTGAAGGAGCTTTCGAGACAACAGATGAAAAGTTTACTTCACTGACCAACAGTTCATTATAGAACATCTCATTGACTTAGAGTCGAAATATTCTAAACTTTACAACAAACACAAAAAGTTGAAAGGAAAACAAAAACAAATGGCATATGATATTTATGAAGATGTTGACGACACAACTGTTCCTGCAGGTGAGGTAAAGTCAGAGGAACCGAAAAGTGACGAAAAACCGATAGAAGAAGAGAAACCAAAAACTGAAGATAAACCAAAACCAAAGTTTAGTTTGGAAACTAAACCAAGTCAACCTTCATTAGCTGGTATGGGTTGGCGTCAAAGACTTATGGCAGCAGGCGGTTATGTAAAGTAAAGAAAAAATATTTTTTTATTTTTATAAAAATGCCCCCATATAGAATGGATAGAAGGTCTGCTAGAATAAAAGCAGAGTTGCAAAGATATGGTTGGAGAGTTTCGAGAAGTTTAAATATAGGAAGGGAAGACCCAAAAGTCTATGACAAAACTGGCTGGTCTGACCTACGAAATGATTTGGAAACAGCACGTGCAATTATCCAAACAGACTAGAGAGGTTAGAAGAAGAACGTCTTATGGACATGCCTTTCGATGTTAGTGAAACCTCAAGTTGAAGGACACGACGGCTTTGCCAGATCTACTGGAAACATGACGAACAATTGCATCCTTGAGAAGGAAAAAGGAAAAGTGAAGACGCACATGCTCCCATGGAAAGAACAAGATATGCATATGAGAAGTATCGTGAAGTTAGAAGTCAAATTACATCTGGTCGAACCTTTACAGTAAACTTTGACGAAGGAAAGAACAAAGAAGGCTTCATGGGTGTACTTGCTGCAATTCAAGATGGAAATAAGAAAGGATACAATCTCAGATTGACCATAACAGATTTGGATGGTCACATTTACTATGCAAATGGCAATGAACAAAACAGCTGCAAAACTTCTTGACGCTTCAAGACTACAAAGAGAGAACAAATGGTTGACTCCGACTCAGACATTTTGAATACAATTGAAGGAATTGCAAGTGTCAAGTTCGAATGTACCAAACCTAACCCTCAAGCAGTCAGACAACATGCTGGATACTTCCCGTTCATAAATAAGTCTGACATTGACTTGACAAGGTATGGAATTTACAATTCAATTGAAACAATTGTCAATGAACCTTGCATTCTTACATGTCTCAGGAACTCTGGTCTTGTTACAGATGAGAAGATGAAGTATCTTGAGTCATGTGTGAAGACAAGGTACATTCTCAGAGGTCAATTGGCAAAAATTGCACCGTTGGCAAATGTCAATATCCGAGTCAACATACCTACAGCTAAAGGTTCTTCACATGACGACTATGTTGTTGAGTTCAATTTACCATGGTTGAAGATTGCAATTGTCCACAACCACTTTCATGTTGAACGAAAGTCTTACAAACCCATGTTCGGAAAAGGCAAGTGCAACATTGTCAGAGCTGTAAACATTCTTTTCGAGAAAGGTTTGTTGGAACCAATTCCAGATGACAAGCTGACAGAAACTTTTGTACCAAAAGACGAAACAAACTTTTCACTGTTAGCAAGACCAAAAGTTGTTCCAGACAAAGTTCTAGTACAAAAGAAGTACACAATTCCAAAAGGAGTTGGATTGTTCGGATACCAACCTGAACCAGAAGAACTTCCAATGAGGTTGCAAGAACTTCAAGATGCTATAAACAAACTTCCATTGAGACATCCAATTGACGTCAAATTGTATTGGAGAGCATCTGAGTTAGGTCAGAAGGTTTTATATGAAACAGGTTGCTTCGACGATGTTTATGAGATAACAGGAGAAGTTTCTCAGAAGATAAGAGACTCACTTGAATTTCCACAAACTGGACCAATTGGTTGCGACAAGTTCGACTCAGATGAAAAGATATACTATGTCGACCTTAACGCTGCATACATGAGGTTTGTCCAATATATTCCGACTGGAATTCCAAACGAAGATGGTGAGTTCCCGGGAAGGAACTATACAGTTGGAAAAGTCATACAACAACTGTATGATATTAGGAAAGCTTCAAACCCCAAACTTGCAATGACACTCAAATTGCTTATGAATTCGACATGGGGATATTCCATTAAGAAACCTCAAGAGATGAAGAGTAAACATTATGAGAAGGTCGACAACTTTGTTGAAAGGTTTTCTCCTTTTGTTTTGAAGTACGAATTCACTCAAGGTCAAAGTGGCTTAGTAACCACATTAAAACCTATTGTCGAACATTGGTCTTACCCTCAGTTCGCAAAGGCAGTCCTTGACAACTACAACAAATTCTTCTCCGAAGTCAAATCCAAAGTGAAGGTTTACTATGAGAACATTGACGCACTCATGACGAACGAAGAAGGGTACAACAAACTCATTGAAATGGGATGGTCGGTGAAAAGATGGGCTGTTTGCTAGATAAGGTATTTTCCGAAGTTCATGTCCTCTCCAAGCGTAAGTACTGGGGCATACTTGAAGACGGCACAGAAATAAAACATTGCATGAAGTAAAAAATTTTTATTCGAATTTGAATTAAAATGTGGGAATTCTTGGGAACGGGAAAGGCTTATTTACTTGAGGAACAGGTAAAGGTGGTGGAGGTGGAGGTGGTGGCAACCAGTCCATTTTATATTCCTTCCTAGCTAATTTCCGTTTAATTTCATGGTCGCCCTCGGAGTCTTTGAATCGGACAGGTCGAGTTACACCATTCTTGGTCTCAAACTCATATATAACCTGTTTGTCTGTATTTTCGTCGACTATGGCACGAGACACAAACATTGACCAAACGGACAAAAAGTGTCATTTCGGATGGTCACGCAGCCAATCGCATTCGAGCACTTCGAAGAAGCCTTACGTTCCAAGGGAGAGGGTGTCTGGTGCAAGGCAGAGGTCATGAAACTCTACGAGCAGTACATCCTCAATGCCTGGGAGGACAAATCGTCCTTGGATTGGCAATTCTACCAACTCCTCTGGGACGACCTCCTACGCAACTGGGATAACGAAAGAGCCCAATTCAAAGGTCGGGAACTAATTTTGCAAATTACCCTTAATTTAACATACTTATCCAAATAAACACCTAAATTTACTTGGGGTTTCCCCCTAAAATAAAATTTTTTACTCTTAGAACCACTCGAGGTTCTCCTTACGGTTGTTGAGCTTGTCACCGTCAATGTGTCTGACCCTCGACTTCTTGCCTG